CACTAGGTATACAACAATAGGTGCGTTCCTAAAGTATATTTGCTTACTCAGTGAGTTCAAGATAGTAAAATCTAGTTATTACACTCTGTTTCATAACAATTACAAGATTTCTATTTATAGTTTGAAATAATAATTATGTCTGATAGTTTATTGCCATTATAAAATGAGGTTCTATTCCACAGTTGGGCAATTAGTAGTTCTATTCAAAATTTTAAATTTATGTGTCCTTATATATTAACGTTATGTACTGTTTCAATGAGACATCCTTTTAGATATATTATGTGCCTATACATTACAGTAACAAGTCCATACAACTTAGGATTTAAACCAAAGTCCAAGTGAACTATATCGCTCAGATTTTAACTATGAATGGAAATATACAATAACATGTAACTAACTATAGATAGTCTACTATCAGCTGTGAACCATGCAGTCTATATCCGGGTCGGTTGTTGATAACTGACTGATCGAGCCGACTGACGGAGCTGACTGACACCGACTACACTACATCCACTGTTTCACAAATTAATCGGATCATGAACGCGCCCTTTGGACAATAACATATTAGTAATCAACTTCAAGGTTTCACGTCGTTTTGAAACTCTAGTCTTTGTCAATCTTCTAATGCTGTATCATAATACCTTTGTTCTAATTGTTTCATATGTTAATTAAATGTTGCGTTTTATCAATTCATTGTTGTTTAATTTCTGGTAGCTTCTTGTACATCATTATTTCGTTACTACATTTTTTGTGGCATGTTTTGTTTTTATAAATGCGATTGTTTGTGAGGGTGGATGGATTTATGCAAACATGTGATTTATTAGAAATTTTCACTAAGACTCAGGCACACTGACTGACTGACTGCCAGGCAAGGGGTCTCGGGTTCGATTCCCGGGTCGGGCAAAGTATTACTGGGTTTGTAAAAACCTCAGTAGTAGCACCGAATCTGGAAATGTGCCCGGTATATGGCAATATGGTGGGTGTTACATTGTATAGTGGCATTAAGTGCCATAATGTGCACCTCTGCCTACCCCTTCGGGGATAAAAGACGTGATGTTATGTTATGTTATACTCAGGCACACGTGTCGGTCGACGTGCTTGTTCGCGGTGAGACCTTGTGGCTCTGTTTTCCCGCCATTTACTTTACAGCGAGCACTGCACTGCTGTAGTGGTCTATTGCAAATCTTCCGCGTGAGACATGCAACAAGTAGCCATGTTTATTAAACAAATACGCTCTTGTATGAATAGGTCTGTGCAGTGTAGTGTACAACATTATGACTAGGTAATCATAATGTAAACACCAAATAAATCCACTCACTTGAGTACTCACTCTGCATCAATTTCACAACTTTATAATTTTAATAATATGACTAATTAATTTGTTACCGAGCAACTTTCAACAATTCTTTGGCCTTTGCTCAGATTTTTATGTTATCGTTATAATCAATGATAAAATGTTGATGAGCTAATAATCTACTTCTTTGTGTAAAAATGATTCTGGTTTATAACCGAAATACGTGATGATTTGTTTTTTTATTCAATTATTTGCATCATATGGCTAGTAGATAGAGAGGATTAATAGGTACCTAGTGAATGATATAACGACTATATTTAATGTATCTGTTATTGTCTGATAACCAGCTTAACAACAAGTGCAATATGTTTAGTTGCAAATATGTGATAATTTATAGAGTGGCTGGCATTGAACGGAGTCACTGTTTATCTGCACTCCACGATACTTGCGCGTAAACACCACGGTAGCGATCAACACAAATAAATAGTTATCTGAAATATTCATACATGATGCGTAGTTTGCTAAATTCCTGATTGAAAAGGTAATAACAAACAACAATGAAGGTTCTATTTGGCATTGAGTTTCAGCCTGTAAAAGTCGAAAGCTTTAATTCTAGCTAACACTATCTATTGTTCTATATACAATGTATCAACTAAAGTTTAATCGTCTTAATGGCCTATTCAGTATCATCATCTATAGCCTATAAGTGGCTACTGCTAACCAAAGGCCTCTTCTCACACGGAGAAGATTTGAGCATTAACCACCACGCTTGCTCAATGCAGGTTGGCGATTTCAAACTTATAATTAGAAATTATAAGCGCAGGTTTCCTCACGATGTTTTCCTTTTCCGTTTGTGTCTATTCAGTATACCAATATATATGGTTACCCATTCCCTCAAACTTTCGCGTTTATAATAAGTATCTTGTTGGTAGTCTGAAGCAGCTACATTATGTTACAATAGCAATTACGGCGTCCGAGTTCAATTATTTCAAATGTTCCAACATAACACATTGTAACCTCAACGTTCTCATGACCTATGAGTTCCACAAACATTTCTAATGTATTGTTTACACCGACAATTTAAAAATATAACGGTCAATAGTGATGTTCGATAGATAACAGTTATCTCGTTATGATAACTGTTGAACTTTGACATCGTTGCGCGGCTTATCTCGCCCTTCCCGAGGCAGATTCCTATATTATGTTTATGAACAGAGGAAATTGTTTTATCTCTTGGCTAACGAGAGATAACTTGGTGACATTACAATTACATACAACGGGTGGGATCAGACACATCATCGTGTAACTATTCAACATGATAGAATATGTATTTTTAGAATTGATAGATAAATAATATAATATGTTGTTTTACTAGATAAACACCGCATCACTGGTCCTCTGGTAGCAATCTAGCAAATACAAGTTTTGTATAATATGATGTTTCGCTATTTGATCTAGCTAGCTGACCCAGCAAACTTTTTGCTGCCTTAAAACTTTGTTAAACCTTCCCTGGACTTCCACAAACATTTTAAAACCAAAATGGTCCATCCGTTTTCGAGTTTTAGCGAGACTAACGAACCGCAATTCGTTTTCATATGTATATATATATAGATATAGATAGACTAGCTGAGCCGGCAGACTGCGTACCTACTACCTGAATGGTGTTTTTTTTTAATTCTCATCGTTTAAACCTTCCCTGGACTTTCACGAAAATTTCAAGACTAAAATTAACCAAATTGGTTCAGCCGTTCTCGAGTTTTAGCGAGACTAACGAATAGCAATTCATTTTTACATAGATTATTATGCACGTAATAAACCCGAGTGTAGTCCTCTCTACTACATGCACGTGAACATGAGACTAACAAAAAAGACGAATGTACTTTCCCACAAAATAATATTAAACATATATCCTTAATGGAACAATAAGTAATAAACATAATATTACTTCCTATCCAATATAAAAACTGAAACACTATTAATCTTCCTTAATAGATTTACATAAGAAACTCCATTTATTCTTGAAAAACCCACAATAAATACTTTTAAATGTTAACCAAGTAATTAAAAGATATACAATGAATGAAAACGTAAATAACTAGGTACAAATTGTTATCTACCTTTTAATTGTTATTGCTTATTAATATGTTACATTGTAGTGACAATGTAATACGTAGTGCAGTGACACTGCGTAGGTATTCGTTATATTATGTAATTACACACGTAGTAAGTTTAGTTAATTGCACTGTATGTATGAACTACATCTCTATTAGCATTATTTCACTCGCTATATCTTTAGACCAAAATGAAAATTGGGGAAGAACAAAAGTAAATATTAAGAACTAGTAAGTATTCATTCAAACTCAATAGCATTTATTTCAATTAAACTATAATTTGGTACTTTTGGAACGTCAACAAATATAAAAATAAATTATAGTCTCTCAGTCAGTGAAGATAGGCGCTCGTTCCAAAATGTAGATTCGAGTGGACAAGAACGAGAAAGAAACTCCATTCGTTACTCTTTTAAAAAAGTCTGTTTTACAATGTCTCTGATACATATACGTAGACACGCTTATCGTATAATACGTAATCTGTAATTACAGAACGTACTAAAATAAAAAACAAGAGCAAAACATTAAATAAGTAGTACCTACTTCAAGAAATCGAGCATATTTGAAAACCATCAAAAAGCCTGTTCAATTTTATATAGCGAAAAGGGAATGGAAAATATGTTTGTAGATAATAGACGGCCTACATCCTCCAATAAAAATAGGCAGAAATAAGGTACTTATTATACGTATGAAGAATAATAAACTTAGACACACGTTACTAATTGTAGGAAATACCTAAATACATAACAGTTATATACTGACTAATTACTTTTCATTTGTTTATTCTGTTAATTAATGAGCCGTAAATACCATAATGGCCAAAGGTCAAAGATCTTATTTAATGAATTTCTATTTTAAGGTAGCAACAAAAAGGTACAATGTCGTCACTAGTACGGCACTGAAGCCGTGACCCCCAAGCCTACGTAGGACTTGCCAATTGTATGTGACAGATCGTCAGAAAACTATAAAAAGATTAAGCTGAAAAAAATTAACACGTCGCCTCGAGAACCGTCTATTTTTGTCACTTGAAAAATACGTTTTTACAATAGGGTCTAACTTAACTTAAAAGTACACAAAAAGGAGGTCAAATAAGTGAGTAAGTAAGTATACGTGTACAAACAAACGTCTAGAAGCTCATCATTGTAAAGTAGATTATAATCACTGTTTATGATACTTGGTATAAAGCGCGTAATAAGCGAGGTCTAGGACAAGTCCAACGAAATCAGTCGTTAACCATTTGTAATTGAAGTTGCCAAACATCACCACATTATGTAGTTGCCGAGTTACGCAAATTTAGTAGGCTGTAACAATATGACCTGCTTAACCTACGCTCGAATGTCTGTTCAAGATATCGAGCGGCTCAATCAAACATTACTATTAAAGGAAATCGTAATACAATAATTTATTTATTAACTTACACATTTGTGTGTAACCTAGTTTAATGTTTAATGTAAGTAGTGCGACGTCTGCGATTCGCATAAGTAGTCCTACTTAACACTTGTCATAATCGCACGCGTCGCGATGAGTTTAACTTATCATCACAAAATAACAACGACAAAGACAATTAGATCAGCACAAAAGTATCGTAAGTGACTTACTAGTGCAATCGCGCTCTCCGGGTACCACTTGCAAGGGCGCAGGAAAATTGTGAGCAGCTCGTCGTCATCTCCGAAGTGTAGGTCCTTGTTCTCCTTCAGCAGCTCCCGCAGTCTCTCTAAGGCTTCACGCACCCTCTCTGGAGTTTCCCGTAACTCCTGTTCTGCAATAGCTTTTGTCTCTGGCGACAACTCAACGTTGCGCTCCAATCTGAACTCACTTGAACTCATTTTCAAAACTGCAAAAAAGGAAGACAGTTCATATAGTACACTATACTCGTAGTACTAAGGTTTTAGTTTCGTAATGCGTGTTTACAAGGTTTCCAAAATTATGTTAAACCTTAATCGATCAGATAAAACGTTCACACTCATTATTCTCAAAGAGCATCGTATAGTTACGGCCGGTGTATGTTGACATGACACTGGCCGCAAGGCAAGGACTTATTGTGGATTCATACCACGGTGCGCGGGAGCACGTGTCGCCGACTTCACGTTTAAAAACACATCATTGCGTTGGAGAACGATTGCACAAATCTATTGAGCACTAGCCATTACTAAAATTACCTGCAAGCCCATAACAATATGCCGCTAATAACTATTAATCTAATTATCCGAATATAGCGGTGCATAAAATTTTACAATTCAAGTTTATCGTCATCGATTAAACTTAAATGTCTAAGCACTTTAAGTTATAAAATGTAATAAACTTTAAACGAAGTTCTCTAATCAACTTTGCGAAATTTTCCTATACTTTTCCTCATATTCAAAATTTGTAAGTATCTAACGATATAATCACGTCTTCTTCAAAAAGTATTGACTTGTTAACAAAATAATTACTTAAGTATATCGACGAGACGACACAAAGCAAATATCAAAAGTCGAAAGTTCTGTTTGTCTGTTAGCAGTCACGTTGGCTCTTTATGTCCTTATCAACTAAATAGCTTTTATGATTTTGTATACTTGTATAAACAATACAAATGTTATAGAAAATGCTCCCTTACTGAAGAGCTCTTAGAAGGATCTATTTGCTATTTATCTAGAGTTCAATCAACTCTACACGAGTACATAATTGCTCTAGATAAATCGCTTACTTCATAACTATTAATATGTAGATACAGGTACCTAAGTCTCCTACAAGTCTAGGCGTGAACTAATTGCTGATTATTGTTTTTTTAGTAATTAAAAATCAATTCACATACGTTATAATTTTTCAAAAAAATGCTATCGCGCAATATTATCTTATTGACTCGTAATTTTGCTAACTTATCTTTATTTCAATAAAAACGAATTAGTAATAAAGGCTTCCTTACGTCAAAGATTAAGTATTTAATAAGAGTACAAGTAGTTAATCAATGAGGGAAATCACATGAATATTTTTTAATAAATAGTATAAGTATTCATAAAAGAATAATAAGTGTTATGTGTTAGGTATCTATAAATTATAGACCGTAGATTGAATGTGGTCGCAATAAATCGGTTTTTAAGAGCTAATGGTGGCTTTTATAGATTGCATCCTGGTATTATTGTGATGATTTATTAACTATTAACTGCAAGAAGTAAGATATAATAAAATTAACGATTAAAATATTAAGTATTCATAATTAAAAGAAACTTAACCAAGTTCCTAACAAGGAGTAAAAACATGAAAGTAATTTTCCTAAAATTCAACATTTACACCACATTTTAATTTGTATTTATGTTTTAGTAAAGTATAAAAAATAAATAGTGTTATGATGGGGCTTGTACTTAATTAATAGTAGAAGAAACTTAGTTTTTCACACTCAAAAATCAGTCCCAGCCTTGCGACGTAGTGACGAATATTTATTAAAAGTATAAACTCTATCAGAATATTTGTAAATTGCAGGCACAATTCCATACAAAATTTCACAATGCAACATGCACAACCTAAGCACTGCACAATTTGGAACACAGAAGTTTGCAAACCTTGTTTAATTTTTCACTTATAAAAAAAAACTGTATTGTGAAAATGCACTAACCTCACTCGCGTAGTATCACGCGCCGGTGGAAATCACAAAGGGAGGAAAATCGATCGTGCGGCGGGTGAGAGGCGTTAGCGAGTGTGCGCGCGCGCAGCCAGCCAGCTGTTATATAGACACGATAAGCGCACACGCTTACTTCGTGCCCCAGCGTAGTGCCTTACAACTTACACTGTTTATACAAACAATTTGAAAATAAGCACCCCAAAGTTACCACTCCTAATTGTCGACATTTTTAAATAGGTACATATAAGAAAATACTTTATAAGTTTAGATCAGCTGTGATATTTTGTTGTGCACAATTTAGTATATACCTAGGTAATTCATTTCAGAGCTGCTTTGAAGCATTTGTTAAAGACTAGGTCTCTCTGCTTCATTTCGTTCTCGTGTTTTAAAAAACATATTTTTTCTAAATTATAGGTATGTTTAGTAGAATTTCTATTATTTTGATCATTCATCGAACTTTAGATGACCAGAAACTATAGACACTTATCTAGAATTTGTTATTGTTGTAGCAATGACAAAATGAAGTATAAGTTACTAAAAATACCGACTGAAATTATCTAGAATAATCATTTTCTAATCTGATAAATCTTTGTCAAAGCACGACATAGGTCAGTGACCCGGCAATGATTTCTGAATCCTCATACTAACCCAACTCTTGATACTACAGACAAATTCTAGTGTTAGCTGTCTAGTTTCTATTACGAAACATTAAAAAAGGATTACTAAGCAATTTTTAAAGTAAAAGTGTATGAAATGGCTGTATTATTATGCAATAATACCTATTATGCTACAAATGACTCTACATGCAGCTAGATACAAGCTTCAGACATTGTTGTATAAAATGATTAGATAGTCCAATTTACCTATACGTTTGCGATGTAAATTGTCATACATAGTTGATATCCATTGCTCACCAGTTTAGGTAAAGTAAGTTACAGGCAATCGATGTATGATAGAAAAACATCCTGAATCGTGCATGCTATAGCTTGGTGAAGATTGAAGATATGAGAGTCTTTACCCTACATGTTAGGTACCTACTAGTTAATATCTAAAAATAGATTAACAATCTCGTCTATCATAAGCAGAATTTAACATGTGAATATCAATATAAAGGTACCTACAACGTACTAGTAGGTAGGTACCTGAACCAGGTACCATAACATCAGGATTTACTAAAAATCGCAGGTTAATCACGTGAATATACTGAGAAAAGCTCTACTAGTTTCGATCTACAGAGGGGCTCTTCCTCATGAGCAGCGTGCGCAGGTCGCGGGTGATTTTTAGTTAATTTAGTATGTCTCACGATACTTAGTTATTATAAAAAATAACATCAGGATGCAATCTATCGTCAAAAAATATTCTGCTATTCTGCTCAGTACCAATATTCAATCCAAAGGAATCCTGTAAATTGTAATTCCTTCTATTAATTAATTTAAATTACCTCTCCGCATTGTTTTTTTTTTCTTTAGGCATTTCTTGCTGAAAGGCACATTTTGAAACGTATTTTTTTTTACATTTTACGCAGTGGGGTTTTTGTTTTACAGACGTTTCTTGTAAGTGTACATCACTCGTGTATACGTAGATATTTATCAAACCAGTAAATTCGGAATAACCTTTGTATCTCCTTCACCGTATTTCAATATTTATCTAACTTTTTCGGATTAACAATAGCCGACTTTTTATTAGCACCAAATAAGTAAGCTAACCACGCAATAAGTAACATTGACAACATACATAGTGACATAGGTAGTTACTAATTGATTCCATCAATATTTTTTTGTTTGGCTCATGTTCCCTACATCTACATGGAGTAGTCCATAGTTCACAGATCAAAGATATATACAGTGTAGAAGAAAAGAACAATGTCCATATACGTGACTCATGTACTTAGGTACTGGACGTACACAAAGAGACATTTGTCGTGAGGGTGTCAGCACAGTACTGCTGCCTTTGTTCACTACCACCGCCTCGTGTTTAAAACGTAAGTAAAATATGATATAATAATAAATGAAGCCATCAATCGATTTCTCAAGTTTTCTAAAGAATATGAATCATGAAACAGACTTAGGTAACATCTGTCCACTGTGTTCTTTGTTTAATTTTTCTAACAATAAACTCATAAGGTAGGTATTACTTATATAGTTTACGTGAAAGTGAAAAACAGATATTAAGTATTAACAGGTTGTCTGAAAATCTAAGCTTAAGTTAAAAAACGTTATTCCATCATTAATTCAATACAGACTTTTACATTCTATATATCTAGTAACAAAGAATAATGTGCAGTTTATAACGTGAATCTTAAATTTCATTGTTTTAAAATACTCGGAGACAATGGTTTTGTTCGAAACTTTACAGATTGGTAAGGACTTTGCACAAAAAAACATCTTTGTTGAAATATAAAATTATGACAATAAGACCGCGCGCGGCCGAAAGATTAAATTTTTGGTATTTATTTATAATCCGCCTAAAAATGATTTAACAACAGATTTAGTTTGTAATTATCATAATGACAGCTGTATCAGAAAAATATGCGTGGTACCTATCTAAACATAAACTGCATAATCTGGTTGATAGGGAGCCATAGCTACGAGATAACTTATCGATTGAAATTTTGAGTGATTACTTATGTATGCATCAAAATTGTAATTGAATGTTTTCATAAGTGACGTAAGTAGATTGGTAATACTGAACTGCAGGGGTCACTTGAATATTATCAAATTACCTATTACTTGGGGCTTAAGTACCTAGTTGCAATGCATGTATCGATAATAATTGACGGGGATGGTAAATTAAGGAATCAAAGTCAAAGCATTTATTTCAAGATAATCATCGAACGACTTCTCTCGAGTTCCCGACCATAGTTTGGTACTTTTGAAACGTCAACAAATACAAAATAAATAATAGTCTGTCAGTCAGTCCGTCAGTAAAATTAGGTGAAGCGCTTTGGAATGAGGACCTACCTCATTCCAAAGCGTAGATTCGAATGGAGAAGAACGAGCAAGAAACTCCATTCGTTACTCTTTTTTAAAAAAGTATGTTCTACAATGTCTCTGATAAGAATTCCGATGTTAGTCAGATTGCTGAGAGTTAGCATCAATAAAATGTGTTTTTGGGTGAAACTCCTACTTCTACTACCTGGAATTATCATAAGTTCTGGAATTATCATTATTATAAGTTACTGAAATTGACGCAGTACAATTATCAATTTCATTCATCTAAATATAAATCTTACTAGCTTCTGCCCGCGATTTCGTACGCGTAATCCCATTTTTTCCTGTCCCCGTTCGTGATTTTCGGTAAAAAAAAAAATGTTGGTTAAAAAGTATCCTATGTCGGTCTCCTGGCTCTAAGCTACCTCCCTACCAATTTTCAGCCAAATCTATTCTGCCATTCTTGAGTTATAAGTGGTGTATATAGATTACAATATGCTCGGTTTGGGCATTTGACGGGCTGGGCCAATGGTTGTGTGACGTGTCGCAATTTCAATTCCCGTACGGAACATCTCTTTATTTGATTCACCAATAATAGTGGTTTTGGGTCTAAGTGTGATGTGCCTGTGAAATCGTATGTTTGTAAAGATGCGATAGAAAGACCGCGACAGAGGGTAAAATCCTAGTCTTCAGCCATTCGTCTTATCTTGATTTCTCCAAAAAACGAAGTGAAACCCCGAGAATTAAAAAGATTTTTAATTTAAAAATGAAGTAATGGTTTACAATACACATAATGTAATTTTATGTTTCCATAGAAATCGACATTAGTCATACATTAAGTAGATATAGCGGAACCTAGATCTCCACGAGGTTCTAAAGTCTAATCTTTCTGGTGCACTTTGACTGACAATATCTAATATGGGCGGGTATTAGTATCATAGGTTTTATTATTACCTACTGTAGGTGCTGACCCTCTCTTTACAGACAAAACATCAATGACTAGATAGCTAATTAGTACCTATCTATTATTAATTAAATAAGTAAACATAATTAAATTCCGTTTCCAACGATATTTCGCTACAAGTCGCCGAACATTGTAAGTAGATAAAATAAGCAATGAACTCAGCATTGATAATGTTACTATCCGGAACATTCTATCGCATTAAGATACGTACTATTATGTAGGTATATTAGGTATACAGGCCCTAATACGATAGGCATAAAGTACTTAAGTACATTGTAGGTACATGTTGCTTCCGTGGTTCATTAAAAAAATTACAAACTAAACCTTGTGAATGTCACGGAGAACCTAGCGGGTTACCGGGGCTTTGGCTCGACGTGCAGGAGAAGGAACGGGGTGGTTTTTAGTCAGTAAGAGTCTGACACTCCCTCCCGCCTCACCCAGGCGGGAGCAGTCATTCGATGATTTTCCCCCATTAAAAAAAACTTGTGAATCCTAGAATGTTGATGTTGTCGTCCGACGTTAGCTCAGTAGGCCACCGATATTATCCGACATCTCGTTATTTCCAGTGTTATAAGAGAGGAAGATTACCTAAATGGAAAATTGCTAGGGACAAGTAAGGTTCGAACCTGAACTATCAATGCACTTGTACTGAACCAGCGCAACACAGCGACACATTTAAAATGAGAGCTGAACTAACTAGACTAACCAAGAATGCGTTTAGAGGTCTTTTTTATGTATTATTTATGGGATATAATAGATATATCCCTAGTTTACAACCCAAAATTCTGAAACTACAATCGTAATTAGGTAGGGTAATTGAGAAAAGAGAGGGGTAACGAAATTGATATTATGGAAATTACAACTCGACGTCCCACAAATGTCCCAAACTTTACATTTTCGCTAATTGATACCTACCTACTGACTAAGATTACGATAAGCGTTGGCTATCGATGTGTAATGAGTTGCACGACCTTGTGGGGGACGTTACCGACAAACTTCGTACTTACCTAATCTTTCCATTTCAGTGCTACGCATAGCCTACAAACTGTCGCGGAGAACCTAACGGGTAACCGGGGCTCCGGCTCGACGTGCAGGAGAAGGAACGGGGTGGTTTTTAGTCAGTAAGAGTCTGACACTCCCTCCCGCCTCACCCAGGCGGGAGCAGTCTTTCGATGATTTTCACCCCTTAAAAAAAATCCTACAAACTTTACCTTCGTACTACGTAGGTAGTTACTGTTATGCAATTATTATTGTTAGACGTAAGTACTCAAAGGACAATGATCCTGAATAATATAAAAAGCCGAGTCGACAGAGTGGTCGCAAGTGCGACTGCCGGGCATGGGGTCTCGGGTTCGATTCCTGGGTCGGGCAAAGTATTATTGGGTTTAAAAAAATCTCAGTAGTAGCACGGAGCCTAGAATTATGCCCGGTTTATGGCAATAGGCTCACCCCCTATTACATGGGACTCATAACATAAATAGTGAAAATTGGGTGTTACATTGTAGTGTCGTAATGTGCACCTCTACCTACCCTTCGGGGATAAAAGGCGTGATGTTATGTTATGTTAAATAGGTAGAGTTCGTAGGTACTGAGTAAAGGATGCCGATTAACAACGCTCAATTCTCTTGGCAGACTATGATGGAAAAAAATGAGGATTTTCAGTGTAGAAATTTGTTTTTTAGCCTGCAGTTTGTAATTCTTCTTGTCCCCGTCCTTTCTCTCCCAGAGAAAATGTGTCACTATATAAATCTACATATTAAACAGCTCCCGCCACCCCGATAGATGTCTAAGCATATCATTATCAACAATGATAGCCATAGCTTCTAATGTCTTTAACTAAGATAACTTCTATTTGTATGTTTTATTTAATAATATAATTACTAGGAAGATAAGAAAACGAAGAAAGTATCACAAGTAATTGTTTATTTACTATCATCAATATCATCTACATCGTTAACAGCAGTGTCGTCCTCTGAGTTGGATTCACTATCACTGCCGCTGGGTGCCTGTAACAAAAATCATTTTGAATTATCAATGCATAGACATAAGTATTTTGTGTACCTACAAGCTTTTTTAACTTATTAATCATGCTTCGGCACGAATGGGCCGGCTCGACCGGAGTGATACCACGGCCTTACAGAAAACAGACGTGAAACAACGCTTGCGTTGTGTTTCGTCGTGTGGGTGAGGTGACCGGAAGCCCAATTACCCCCTTCCCCAGTCTCCCCAATCCCCGAATCCCCCACAATCCTCAAATTCCTAATTCCCAAAGGGCCAGTAACGCACTTGTAACGCCTCTGGTTTTTCGGGTGTCCATGGGCGACGCCGATTGCTTAGGTACCACCAGGGGATCCGCCTGTTCGTTAACCGGCTTATGGCTAAAAAAAATTAAGTAGGTACAGTCGACTAACCGCGAAAATCTGGTCTCTATTCCCCTGAATAATCGCCGTTAGTCAAAGTTTGAGACTTGACTGTTTGACGAAAGGCATGCATCCGTATTACAACCTCGATCAATTTAGACTTTTTTGTTTTTTATTTTTAAGAGCGGTAGTTTTTGACCACGTACACAAGTTATTTTCTTTGTTCTCTTATTAAAGCTGATTAACACTATCGTACACAAATAATTATAGGTATACGATTGTACATAATTAATCAATTGGTTTCGTAAGCAGCTGTAGATATGGGCGTGTACCTAAGTAATGCTGACTTTATCTAACGATGAAGATATGCATGTATATTATCGGGTATTGCTAAGGTACAATTTAAAATAGATCAAATCTAATGTTTAAAGGTTATTCAGATGTTAAATACAGCTAATTAGTACCTACATGACGGTGGATATTTATAAATATATTAGGTATAGGTAAAGGTTTGTTATATGACAAAGCAGATACTTATTTGGACAAAGTGCAAACCATCGATTTTTGCGATAATAAATTACTAGCTTTTACCCGCGGCTTCGCTCGCGTCACAAAAGGATAAAAAGTAGCCTGTGTGACATATACCAATACACACAGCGCCATCTATATCAATACTTTTGTTTTCCCTCGGGAATATCAATTTTTCCGGGATAAAAAGTACCCTATTATTTAATCCAGACTTCTCGTCTGCAAAAATTCAAAGAAATTGGTTTAGTAGTTACGGCGTGAAAGTGGAACAAACAAACAAACTCACTTTCCAATTTATAATATTAGTAAGGATAGTAAGGATAAGGATAGTAAGGATGACTAAAATCCTTCCAAATAATTTTAGAGTCCTATGACATAATTTATCAATCACTGAGCAAGCCTATACCTATAATTATTTACCAGACCCTTACATTCAGTAATACTACTTGATCAACAAAGGATTGGCAAAGATTTCGGGAGGCAAATAAAATTTCTTTTAAAAAGGTCGTTACCTCAAACTTCAATTCAGGGTTGGTACTATTGAACAGCGTATCCTTGACGTATCGGAACATATGGTCGCGACAGATCTCGTCCGTGTTGGCCGGCAGCCAGCCCCGCTTCAGATGGCACATGTACCCCGGCGGCGGCTCCACTGCCAGGATCTCTTCCACTTCAGGTATTTGGATGTCGCAGTACTGAGGAATAATTTGTGTAACACTTCGTAAGGAATTTAGGTTCTTAGTAGGTTAAGAAGAAATGGATTTATGACCACATGTCAGTGCACCCCTGTACTAAACAATTGGATAATGCGTCAAGCGTGTCTTTGCATTGTTCTCACATATACGTACAATATCGAATCGGTATCGAATGGAACTCCACCTCCACTCCAAGCTTCACCTAGCTTCACTGACGGACTGACTGACAAACTATTATTTATTTTATATTTGTTGATGTTTCAAAAGTACCAAATTATGGTTAAATTGCTTTGACTTTGACTATGTCTTTGTAACATGATGAACTAAAGCTGAAAATGCTTTTAAAAACTCTCCAAATAGAATACCCTAACAACAAAATATTCCCACTATGCAAACCGCAAACCAATATAATAAGCAATTTTCCTGTTCACCTGGTAGAATATATGCCGCTGTGTGGGCGTGATTCCTGGTCGGAAGTACACGGTCCCCTCGCCAATGTCCTCGTTCACCGACGCAGCCTCCGCGAACTTCCTCTTTGGCTGTCGCTCGCGGTCCAACGTTTCGTCACGAGACATTATCATGGACCTCACGCCCGCTAAGGAAACAAGCGAATAATATTTATGCGATATTGAACTGCCATTCATGACTGTCACCTCTAAACTTGAATACCTATGGCGAGCAAGGGTAGCTCGCCGCTCGACCAGAACCAGACCCTTGCGTATGGCGCGTCGCGTTACGCGCGCGCGCCTCTAAAAGCCATCAGACCAACACAAATGGGCCCTAGTAGGCCTGATGCCCGATACGGAGCCGCGGATGGCCTAACGAGTTGCCGGTGCTCGGCTCTAAGAGCAGAAGCAGGAATGGGGTGGTTTTTATTCAGTAAGAGTGACACTCCATTTTGCCTAACCCAAGGCGACAGAATTCAATGGATGAAACTCGCCACTCAAAAAAATAATTATGTGGAAAATTCATGAGGATATTTGTGAAATATTTATTGTGAAAACTGCTGAACCAATTTTAATGAAGTTTAGCACACACAGAAGATACATGGAGATAGACCTGTATTGACACAAGATCTTTGCATCATTCACTAAAATGACAGATTCTAGATTATATGACCAATATGTCTGTAATAATAAAACCTGTTCTTACCTGCATGTCTTAACCTGAAGTCCAATGTCTGATATTTCCTAGAGCCAGGATCCTTTCTAGGATCATATCCATACCGCACCCACATTGACCTCCAGGGGCCAGTCTTCATGTACACAGCAAGACAAGGCATAATCACTTTCAGAGACACCAGCCTCAGCTTTGTATGATACCTTATTAAGTTCAGTGACATTATTGGTCTCTCTTCTAGGAGCTGAAAGAAAACATTTTATATAAAAATGATTTAATTATATTGATAAGTTAAGCTAAGTATACAAATGTTAAGAGGTAAAAAAGAACAGGTAAATTGCATGCAGAATATGAAAGAAGTTTGTGATAATATCACACATAATGAATAAAAAATAGAAAGGAAGAAATGTTGAAATAAATGCAAAGTTAAACTTACTTTTTTAACAATATCAAACTCTTGATTTAATGTTGGCTGGCACTCAAGTCTCTGTTCTCTCTGTTTCAAATATACTTCATGTGGTCCAGCTGGCAAGTCATCAATCAAATTAAATATATATGGGGTCACTTGTGCTCCTCTCAAAGTCCTAATTTTGTTGTGAACACTTTCTCTATCATGATCTGGAGAAGCCCGTTCTGGGTATTTCTTGTCTGTATAGGCATAACCAATTGGTTTCTCAAACCTAGTGAAGCTTGAGGGAATTAAAAATAACGGGGCAGGTTGACTGCAATCAATAAAAATATTTATACATATTATAGAAGAAGTAATTATAGAAAAATATAAAATTAAGTCTTATTATGTTACTTACAGCATGAAATCTATTGTATCTGTCCCACAAGGTAAATATTTCTCTAGATCACAAGTCATAGGGCCATCACTAGTCTCTCTGTGTACGGGCAAATATTGGAAGTCACACATTGCTAAAAGTAAATAATACATTGATAAAATTCATTATTTATAAAATATAGTAAAACTTCATAGGAAAAGATACTAACATTCAAACCTAAACATAGTTTTAACACATCCAACCACAGATGTTGAAATAACTTCCCTCTTTACTACATCGCCTTCCTTCACTTTCTTAACTTTAACTTTCATAAGTACTCCGGCTGCTCTCTTGGAAGAGCCATATATCTTCCTTACAAATGGATTTTCTGGTTGGAAAGACAATCCCAAGCGTTTTCTCCCAGCATTGCTATAAACCTGCAAATGTGAGGTAAAAACCACCATAATGTAAACCTACTCTCCACTCCAGTATATATTTGTAAAAATAATCAAAGAAGTTTATTATGGCCATGAATTTAATTATCTTGTAATGAACTTATTAAAACTTACACTCGATATGTTCCTTATTCCACCTAAACAGGCAATAGCTTTGTCGTCATTTTTCACGATTCCAGGAAACAATAACCCAATTAATTCACGATCCAAATTATTACTTTCCATGTTTATGACTACAAAGTCGTTTTATCTCACCAAATTAAACATTTATTTTTATAAACAAAATACAGGTACCGAAAATTCGAGGCACATGCACATTGTTTTGACAAATTTGACGTTGACGTACTTGACATTGACAAAATGTCAGTCGGACCGTTCCATTCCAGTATTGATACACACTGTATTTTTAGCATGTTCCTCGTCCATAGAAATTCTCGTCTACTATAAAAATCAGATTTTTCAACAAATACGAAAATTTTAAGAATCTTGATCACAATCTTTCCTGTGTCCAAACAATCTTAAAATAATGATTGGAAGAAGAATAAAAATTAGATGCGATCAATTTATAAATCTAATAAAGACTGTCACATGAAGAATAATTTACGATAGAAAATAGGAGTCATGAATAAATTGTTTTCGAAAGTTATTAGCGTATTAGTACGCATAAAAACTACCAAAAATTAAAAAATCTTATAACTAATATAAAATTTAATATCACAAACTTAGTCTACACTAATTGCTCAATTATGTAATTCTTATTGCAGTCCATAATTATTATTATTAATAGAGTATAAAAATATAGTTGTGCTTATTTATCTTGTTCAAATTATCATCGATGCGCCACAGCCTCCACAGCTACCAAAAGTCTGAAAATATATAAAAATACATGTTAAGTCTTTGTATAGTTCGTGGTATTAAATCTTGATAGTTGATAATAATAATTATCGTTTTTGAACACAAGAATCGTATGAGCACTGTCACCAGACTCATGGCAATTTTCCACTGGATCAAGATTTAATTCCACCTCAAAAACAACTAGTGAAAAAAATAAATTTCAATAACACTTACTTCTCTAACAGAACATTTCTTTGTCTTTCAATCTCCAGCCTGTCTTTTTCCATTTTAAGTCTCATATTGTTACACCTTTTCTTCTCTAAAAGCTTCTGTTTCTCTATTCTAATTCTTTCCTCTTCTAAGTTTAGAAGTCTGTCATGTACAAGTCCTTGAAAGAAAGGGTACTTTAAGAAAATCTCTAATTAATTTGTTAATAAAGAAAAGTAAATATAAAGTTAAATACTGACTGACTGGTCTTCCTCGCTTCCATAGAGGCTTCCCTGTGACTGGAGCCGAGGATACCTCATTGGGTCCCATACCAGCATCCGGGTCTGTAACTACTGCATCACCAAGACTCATTTCTATATCTGCTGCTGTAAAGTGCTGAGAGTCTGATGGCCATTTCTAAAAAGATATTATAGATAGTTTTTCATTGGTACTTTTAAATCTATGATCACATATAAAAATAAATAACTATATTATTACCATATTATTTGTGGAAGGATCAGCACCACACATGTCATCTGTAGGCCCTGAACTTTGTGTAGGTGCCTGAAAATTGTAAGGACAATTTCTTTGAGCATCTAAATAATATAAAGTATTTGTGTACATGCAAAAGACCAATAGATTTATTACCATTGAATTAACTGCTGAAGTTTCTGGTACTCCTGAAAGTCCAAAAACTGAAGTGTTTGTACAGATTAGTCTTAATATTTTTTCCTCAGCCTCAGTTAGTTGAATGTTAGCATTACAACCTGGTGTAAATCTATTTTTTCTTATTTTAAATGCCTTTTTCTTGACATTCGATTTCCAATCTCTCCATGTCTAAAAATGCAAGTTTCATTAATTCTAAGAATTTTAATGCTTTCATGAAAATGAAAGTAAAAAAAGTTTAAAAAATTGTCAGACCTGTTGCCATTTATCAGGTGTTTTAATTGCACCTGAGCCAAACCCGGAATTAGCATTAAGTTTTTCAGTAATTGTAATCCAAGCATTCGTTTGACGAATTCTTCCTTCTAAACCTGTGAATTTCCCTATTGCTAATTCCTTGTCTTCTTCCAGAAAATGTAAAAGCATGTTTAACTGTTCTGGGCTAGCTTTCCGTCTTTCCATCGTTGTGATAGTAGGTTAAATAGCGAAGTAGTGCAACAGGGCTGTTAAAAATCTACCTTCTATTTTAAGTAATGGTAAATAATAACTAAATATACAAATTTTCTGTTACAAAAACAAAGAAATTCGAGGATAAACTATTTGTTGTTGCTCTAATATATGTTTGTTTTTTTTAAATGTCAGATGACATTCGGTCATCATATGTCAAATATGTTAACCTGTTCCACGAAACAAAGACAAAAAATTTAATTCTCGCAGTTATTATCGACATTCGTACTGATAAAAACCCAAAAGACCATGTGTTGTCAATTAATTAAATAAAGAAACAACTGTCATTTGTCATAGTCTATGGTATCTTGTGGGTAAAGTTTTGTTTGTTGTTGTTTAGTTTCAGGAAGAAAATGATTATTAAAGAAAATGTTCGAAAATTATACAATAAAGTGCACCACCTAAACAATAAATAAAAATAGAACAATACCTACCTATAATTCTTGCCACATTTATTTATTTTTAAATATTTTAATGTTACTGAAAAATGAATACATTTTTGAAACTAAAAATGTTAAGAGGTAGCGCTCATAAGGAAAAGATTGCTCGGAGGCATCTAACTGATTTCTCTGACTGTGTAAACTTACCTGATTCTTATTTACTAAAGAACTGTGGTGTGAATAGAAATGTATTCCATAATATTCTAAGATTACTTGAACCTGTTGTTCCAAAAACTCAAAGATCTAATGGGATACCTTTCCCTTTAAAGGTAATCAAACTGTCCTTGGCTTGGCTTTTGTTAATGCTTAAATTATTTATTTAAAAGCTTCTTAGCAAATACTTTCTTTATATAGTAACATTTTAATTTTTATAACAATTCCAGGTTTTAGTGACCCTGTCGTTCTTAGCCAGTGGCTCTCATCAGAAATCAGTTGGCAAAGACTTCAGTGTCAACATATCACAGAAATCTGTTAGCCGAGTTATCAAGATTGTGGTTGAGGGCCTCAACATGGTGCTGAATAACTGCATTATATTTCCCAGTACTGTAATGCAAAGAGACCAAATCAAAGAAGGGTAAGAAGGTTCCTTACCATCACAATATTAATAAAGTTTAACAGTAACATTACAACTGGAATTACAGATTTTACAGGAAATATCATTTTCCTGAAACCATTGGCTGTATAGATGGCACTTATGTTGAAATAGTGTGTCCAAGAGATGATGAAGAGGCATTCTATGACAGAAAGGGACAATACTCCATTCATGCACAAATTGTAAGAATGCTCATTATTATTGACATCCATAAAATTATTTCACCATAGTAGTTTTTGTAATCTATTCCATTCCAGATGTGTGATGCCGATAGTAAAATAATAGCAATATGCTGCAGGTTTGGTGGAGCAGCTAGTTGTGCATACATTTGGAACAAAATGAACATCAGACCTTTTGTTGAGAGCATCAGTAGACAGGAGAGATGAGTTGGCTCATTGGTTTGTTTCAAAAATTCATCTATAATCTAAATTGGTAATCCTAAATTGTGTAAAATACTTCAACATATTCCATTTTCAGCTGATAACAAGTATCCACAAAGAGCCTGGCTAATGACTCCAATACTGCATGCACCTCAGGGCACACCTGACTCCCAGTACAATCATTTTCAAGGTAGAACTAGAAGTTGTATTGAGAGATGTATAGCCAAGCTGAAAGGCAGGTGGCAATGCCTTCATAAAAGACCACTACATTATACACCAGAGCAAGCAGCAAAAATAATAAATGCTTGTGCAGTATTGCATAACCTGTGCACCAGGGCAGGCCTGCCTGATCCTCAGCCTTTTGTGGACCCAGAACCAATGCCAGTTATAAATGAAGTCACAGAGATGCCTGAAGATAATGTCAATGACCTGTATATTGGTATAGAAGTGAGGAGGCAGCTGGCTGAAAGGATCTACTATAGTGTGTAGTCTAAGACTGATTTAAAATATTTTCTATAATTGCTAATTATGTTGTTCCGCCTATATTTTTTGAATTGAATGTGTAGTTCCTTATTAAAACACAGTATTCTTAATTAAAAAATAATATGTAATCAAAAAGACTTTTATAACCAAATGTTCCTTATCTACTTAGTGCATCAGTATCTGCATCTGCGCCAACTGACTGTAGGTGTCGCCTGGCATTCTGTACGCAATGTTACCAGCAAAGGTGTTCAGTACTTCAGCTTGTTCACGTAGCCATTCCACTTGCTAAAACCCAAACAGCAAAAATTAATATTGATATCATACTATGTACTTCGCTCCACAACGATTAACTTCACAGAGTCTCACCTTATTGTTCTGTGATGCAAGTGGTTGGGCTTGAGCTGCTGTGCGTAACTTTTGTCGTTGCGCTAGAAGAATATTGCAGAGTGCTCGCAACACAGCAGGCAAACTACGCAAGAGCTCACCACGCGCCGTGCGCGCAGCCGATACGCGAGCATCTAGCTCACTTGCATTCAACGGCACTAATTCACAATCACGAAGTGTCTGCAAATAAAACAAAATTTAAATTATTTTGGAAACTAAAAAATATGTTATCAACTTGAATCACTTGAATGCTATCATTACCTCAATAGCGCCTTCGAAATTTTCGCTGTGGAACTGATCAAAGAAGGTCATCAACTTGCATAGTTTAGTGTAGGCTTCAACCAAAGCAGACGGGAGCGAGCTGCCGTCAGCCGAGCGTAATCTCTTTGACACATGCTCAGCGAGAACTGACAGGCGCTGACGTAACCCACCCGCACCTCCGCCACTATTCACTACTTGTGCTAATAGAACACAGAATAGTTCTAAGACCTTCTCTAAGTTCTGAAAGTAAAATTAAATATATTAGAAAACGATTCCATGTGCAGGTTCGTCCGCATGGCAGGTAGATAAAGGTAGCCTTTAAGGGAGCAGGCTTTTTCTGAGTTTCTTCGTCTAAATCATTATATACTACAAGTGAATATTGAGAACTTACCCCAGCAATATCATACATTGTTATGGCATCTTCAAATAGGCCTTTGTTCACCAGCTGCTCTGCTACATTTAGAGCTATAACCTGAAATAAACCGAGTCATGACATCAACCATTTTGTAAATACACTTTTTTTAAATGCTTATGCTTTACACAATATACGTACTTTGCTATCAATATGTGGGTTGTTGAATTGGTCCAGTAGGCCAGGGCTGCGCAGACCAGTCATTGCGTCCATTCGCCCGAACAGCAAGTCATAGTCGCGACTCTCAAGAGCCAGATCCGTGCAACAACACATAAACAAGTTCTTTCCACTGGGATCTTTAAGATTTCTGTAAAAAAGAAATAAAATATTATGTTAATGGAGTATATAAAAACTAAACATGAAATTATATTTGATTGATTTACCTTAAGAAAAAGTAATAATGTAAAGCGTCAGATGGATCAGTGAGTTCAAACTTCCTGACATACAGCAGTAAAAGTCTTGCCAAGTTCAGACGACGGAGCGGTGGTGGATCGTCGGTGTCGACTGACACTAAAACAATACACATTTTACCATAAAGAATATTCTTTAAAAAATAAGTAATATTCTGATAGTTTAAATAGATTATTGTGCATGTACTTACATAACGGTGCTTGAACGTTGCGCGGTGTACCTAACATGTATACATCGTGAAGAGCTAATGCCATATGCACAGCATGTACTTGGAATCTAGAATAACATTTTATTTAATTAATGAACATTGCATAGCTAACATTGACTAAGAAATTGTATAGCAAACATCAAATGTTTGTTGATTAATTGGTACCTTGGAATTCTCGACAGGAACTCAATTGCAGGTTCAAACTGTCCAGTCAAAGTGAGCATTTGGAAATACACAACTGGTTTCTCATAAGCATGGTAATGAGTTTCACCTGAAAAAACAATATAATGTATTAGCCAAAAATAATTTAGATCATACAACGATGGAAGTTATAGAAGTATGTAAGGATCGTAGGTAGCGCTCTTTAAGTTCTACCTACGCCAACAGGACGTAAGTTTATGAATCACTGAGTAATTTAATTACCATATTCCTCTAGAATCATTTTCTGTAAATCAGAATAAGAGAATGTTTCGGCCTCATTGTTGCTGCGTGACTTGATGAAAGAAAGTTTGAGCCACAGGTAATCGTCTGCTGTGCGCGCCACTTCGTAATGTTCGTCGCTTAGATCACAGCAACCAATGACGCAATATACCTATAACACGATAATAATCATTACATTTAGCCTCACAGGCATACATAAGTTTCTTTCAGTACTATGTCTATGTTTTTTTATACTTACAGCTCGTTTATAAGGATCTGTAGAGTTTCGCACTTGTATTCTATAGTGGAAGTTGATAGCGGTTTGTAGTTTATCACTTAAAGGTTTCTCTGGATTCTTTATGTATTCTTCAAGAGCTGATATAAATTCCTCATGATCTCGGCTGAAAACATTTTTTTTTTAATTAAGTTTAAATGACATGAATTAAAATCACTAAAATGATTTTTTATAAAGTCTTAATACATACCCTGCCTTTCTTAGGCAATGCAGGGCAGCATTGGCATCTCCACTCCTAAGGCAGTAATAGACCATAGGCCAGAGCGGGCGTTCATCAATGACGCCGTCAGTCAACACCTGCACATTCTGTCCTTGTAAGCGGAGCCCTACAAACCCTCGCACTAGTGGGTACGTGCCAGGCTCACCACCACGCATCGCTGCTGCAGGGTTCGCACGCACGACATCGCTCATGTACAGTTTATATCTACAAGTAAAATAACACACATAACATCATGCCTTATATCCCCGGAGGGGTAGGCAGAGGCGCAATATAGCAATAAATGAGACCCCCCATCGCACTTGCGTGCAATCTGCCAATGAGGCAGTCAAATAAGATGGGATAGGAACTAGTAAAATAAATGTGCAATTATATTCAGTTATGGAAAATAATAATTCATTTTTCAACAGTCATTAAATTATTCTTCACATTAATAAATTTAAGTATGTATACACATATTTCATGTTTCCAAAGAGAATCCACACTTGTTTACCTAATATTTTTGTAGAAACTCATTAGCTGGGATACTTTTGCTATGTCATTTCTTTAATTGGGAATATACTGTTGTAATATCACAGAATGGACCTTTTAAGTAAAATCGCGGGTTACTCACGTGAATATACTGAGAAAAGCTCTACTAGTTTCGAACCACAGTGCGGTGTTCGGTAAAGTGTTTGTTACACTTTAAAGAAGGTTTTAGGGCCAATTATTCAAACATCAGTTAATAGAATAAAATTGACATTAAGAAACTAGTAGAGCTTTTCTCAGTCTATTCACATGAGTAACCCACGATTTTACTTAATTTAGTATATCTCACAATAGTTATTATAAAAACAATATACCTTTTCTCTAAATATTTCTTTCCTTGAGCCACAAGACATTGTTGTATGGTAGGGTTGCCTCTGGCCTTCAGAGGGTCCTCATCTCTAACTAGGGCTGGAATATTCGCCATTGTCTTTATTATCTCCCACATTTCCTTAACTTTCTAAAAATATAAATCAGTAAAATTAATTTATTGTTGCACATAAATGCACATTATAATTTTTATGTTATTTAAAAATTACTAACAGGGTCATTAAATTCTTCAGCAACTTGTGTGAATTTCTGATGTAAAGCTGTCCTTGATTTAGATCCTTGGAACACAAGCTTGTTGTACTGGTGTACTTGTCTAGAGTATGCAGCCTCTATGTTGTCAAGCATGGAATGCCCAAACTTCTTTGGTGCATCTGCAATACTTGGTGGCTCTGGGGTCCTCTTCAGGTCCAGCCAATTTTGAGAAGGACCAATCATAGCATTCATCAACTTAATCTTTTCTCTGTTCCATTCAGAGAGCATGTGTTCCCATTTCTGATCTTCAGTAGTTTGTAGGGACTGAAAGTAGAATAACAAGATGAACTTAAATGGCAATTACTCACAAAAATCTTAACTACAACCTAAAGCCAAGTCAGCGTGATTTGCTCTATTAGTCTCCACTAATTTCATTTTTTTTATACTCAACTTGGCCTGTCAGTTTATGTAATTTTAAAAAATTCTTACAAGAATCATCCAGCACCACAAAACTTACTGTATGTAGTAAACTACAGTGTGTATGTTTTAATGCATAGTTGTGGTAGTTGCAACTACCTATTTTGATTAAATTGTGAAAACAGACTTTACACTTACGTTTTTGTTAACCTCATCAATTAAAGATAAAATTGCATTTTCTCTTTCGTTCCTTAGAAAGCTTTCAATGTCAGAGTCGGCTATAGGTTGGAGTGGCTCGAAAGTTCGTTTGGAGCTGAGAGTTTCAAGTTTTTGTGATATCTGTTGTAAATCTATTCCTTTTGAACCAAACAGAAGATGTCTGCAACAAACCACATTCGAAGGTTACGTCAAGAATATAAAACAAACAGTAGAAATAAATTATGATAAGTAAAATCAACAAGGCCTTACGCTTGGATATCATTTGCTCCTGACTGGATAACTCTTGAATACAACTCCTGGGACGCCTCAAGCACCTGGCCCAAAGAACGTTCTACTCTCGGCAACTCTTCATTGCCTTCGATTTCAGTGGTTAATTGTTCTGCTTGTTGCAGTAGTTTACTGAAATCGTCATCGGCCATCGTGCACAATAGGTTATTAATGTAAGTTTCTAAAACTTGTAAATTTACAAAATCTCTAACAGGGTGTTATGTTCACTATATACTACGAAATAGTTATTAGATTTTAAATTATGAATATTGTTTGAGCGTGGTTTATAGGGATATAATAAAAACAATATGTATCTAAATAACGGCCGGTTCACCCTCCCGCTCGCTTTCTTGACTTGACAATTGACAGATTCGATTAGAATTGACATTGACACATCGCTTGTTTTCTTGTCTATGGACATTATGTTTAATTTTAATTAGATTCCAGATTTGACAATAGCTACTGTCATTTTGTGAAATAATGATACCACATATAATAGTGTAGTGATGCACACAAAAATCGATAAACAATCAGTGTGTGTGTTTTATAATAAATGTTACAGAAAGTGACAGGATAGCCATAGCGATGACGGCGACAATTTACAAAAATAACTTATTACCATAATACATCTATCTGTTTTATTTGTCATGTTCCTTCATGATTACATTTTTTATTTATTTCACACAATTATTAAAGAAAAGTCTCAGATCGTTAATTAATCGTCAAAACTGAATTATCGGTTCAGAAATATTTAATTTCCTGATATACTTAGTTTACGAGAGTAAAATTATAAACGAGAAGAATCGATCCAGAAATATTGCATTTCCATATCGAATAATTTCGCAACGTCACTATTTACTACTTGTCATAACGTTGCAACACTGAAATTGTCAAATCTGGAATCGAATTAAAATTCCGAGTATAGGTTTGCACATGGTGTACAAAGAAATTATTATTAATTTAATATTTAATAATTAATTTCTTTTATTTACCGAAGCTACATATGATAGAGATTCCTAACGATAAAATACTCATACTTTACTAATCATTAGCCATCTTCTAAGTACTGCTGCATGCGCTGGTGCCGCCGAGACCCTTTTTTATGTCGTTTGGGGTCGAAACACTTGGGCCATGGGGTCCCAGGGCACATTCGGTGTATGAAGAAATAGCCCGTAGGCTAATCAACTCTATATATGACCAGAGGGCTGGATATTTCTTCGGACAGAAAATAATCATTGCCATTGCACTTGGCAATGCTGCCAGCCAGTCTCCTGGGCACGTTCACGTGATAGTGATGCGGATGAATTCTTTGACGCCTGACTGACGGAATTTCGTTTTTTTCTTTTATCTGTTTTTTACATAGGTTTTTATTCGCTGTTTTAGTTTTATTAGTTCCACTTCCACTTCCATACAATAGCTATGGCGCACCATTTCCAGACTGTGCTAGCCCCAAGATGTTGCAAAAACCCCTTTAATATTAACTAGCGAAATTGTCTTCGCTGTAATGTAAGGATCGCTATAAGCGATCTTCTGTATAAATAAATGCTATTAGCAGATCAAAACGTTCAAATTTGTTGAGCGAGGTGTGTGCCGCGATTATATTTTCTCACTAATTTCCGTTTTTGTTTTTGTGGCATACAAATAAAAAGTTAACAAAATTAGTAAATAAGCTCCAATTTATTTCCAAGTAATAGTACAGTAGGTACATTTATTAGCATACTTAACAGGAAGTACATCTCTCACCATTCAAGCTAACATTCAGAAAAACAGATGATAGGTAGGAGAAGAATCCCACCTATACTGTGGGCTATTTAAATTTTTTAGGTCCAAAAATTAAGTCAGCATCGGGCGCGCCTTTGGGATGCTGGTATTTCTGTCGAACATGTTGCCCTCTATTGGGGTTACCGCTGCCTCCTGACCCGCCTCCACTTTCTGCGCTGTATTCCTCTTCTTCTTGCCTTTCTGATATGTTTAAGGTCAGACTACAAAATACAAAAGTTATTTTTAATTTGAAAATATGCCAAATTTCGCATGTGATGGATATAGTAAAAAAATACACATACAGTTTCATTCTCTCCATTTCTTGTTTATCAGCTAGAGCTTGTTGCTGTAGGTTGCTGGCCAGTTCTGGAGGTGCATTAAATGACTTGTATTGTGGCTTAGTACCCTTCCGTACCATCAAGACGAATTCAACGCCTTCTTTGCCTTGCTAGAAACGTAAAAAACCATAAAATCAGTGACATATGTAAACATATTTTTTTTTAATTTTCCAAATTCTATGCATACTGACCAAAAGCTGTTCGTAAGTTTTTTTGGTGGTTTGACGACAAGTCATTGGGACAGCGATGTCTCGCTGTTGTGGCCGAGTCTCGCGCTGTCGTTCAGCTATGTTCTCCATTACCATTTTCTCGAAAGCAGATTCAAATTCAACATCTTCCACCTAAAAAGAGAAGTCAGAATATTAAATAAGTACATCTTATTATTGTAATACTATTTTCAAAATTATGTAGCTTACAGGTTTTGGAGCTGGTCTTCTAGGTTCGATTGTAATATCATCATTTTGCTGTAGTTCATTATCGTCATTTCCAGTGTTCTCAGTTATAGGCTCCTCATCAGAACTCTCTTCTGGTAATTGAGGATTGTCTGTTTCATCATCAGTCTCAATTATGGTGTCCAAGCCCTCATTAACACTGTCATCACCCTGGTCATCTGCATCATTATCTTCTTCCCCTAGTTCTGGGTACAATGTTTGACGTAATTCTTCTATTGCATCTTTACATTCTTGCCAACTAGTAAACAGTGTCAGCTTAGGTCTTAATGTCGTCAAACATTCCTGGTATATATACCTAACATAAATAGGAAACATGTTGTCATCAGTCCAGTGAGGATCAGATTGTTTAAACCAATAATAATTTTGGAAGAAAGTTAAGAAGTAATCCAGACGCTTTTTGCTAGAACCACTGTTAAAATACGCGCCACAAGTCTCGAGAAGGGCACAGACTAGCCTAATTCTGAACACATTTTCAGGAAGGTCAAGGGGAGAGACATTGTTGTGATCATTTGTTACTCCAAAAGTTATAAAAGAATACAAGACTGTAAAAACATCTCGTGAATCTAATAGCTTGTAGTTGTACAATTCTCCCAGATATCTGACTGTAGCAATTCTCCTCTGATTATATCTTGGGTGAGGATCTTCCATAGTAACTCTGATCTCTTCCAGAATAGTATCTACTACAGCTGGGGCCACTGCCTCTTGCCACGCAGCTAGTTCTGCTGTCAGTCTTGCCAAAGCCCGCCTGGCACTTGCTCTTACTCTCCAGCCCCCTGCCAAGTGCTGTATAGCAATGGCTGCAGTATCTGGATCATCCCAATTCAGTTTACGCATCAATCTCAGTATCTTTTCTTCATTGCTTTTTTGCAAGTCTTCATGGAGTACTTTCCTTATAAACTGATGCATAGGAGGTTCTTCTTCTTTTGGCTGAGCTGGAGCTTCAGGTGGACACACATAATAAAATGCATTTTCTATTTGCGTCACATAACGTGAGTCTAAAGCTGATACAGTCTGAAATTGAAAATAATTAAATTAAAATTATGATAGCTGTTACAGATCATTGTCAAGCAATTGAAGTGCATTAAAAAATTAACAAACCTTTTTTCTCATCATTTGTTGCAAATAGATCATGGTTCTTTGATGAGTGTCTGGATTACAGTACAAAAACCTACCACACGTCTCAAGGAGATTGCACGCCATTTCTATATGATGGTGTTTAAAGTCATGCAACAGGACTTTCAGACAATAGAGTGCTTCCATTTTCGAATATAGACTAAACTTAACCAACTCGCCAATGAACCTTACTACTTTGATCTGTAAACATTAACAGTGATTATAAATGTGGTGGCAATTTCGATAGAAAAAAATGAAATAAGGATAAAGATAATTTACCTTTGATTCAATATTGATCTGATCTTTTTTCCTAACATGATACTTAAAGTCTTGTTTCAACATCTGACACAAATCTACACATACATCTGGCAGAACTGGGTAGAGGATAGCAGCAAACCTTGAGTAAAAGGGTAATAGATCTAATCTAGTTCTGGCAACACTGAAAAGTACCCTTGTCAGTTTCTTTCTGTTGTTCTTAGTATTGAGATTCAGAACAAAATCTACTGCAGCATTGTCAATCAACTCTCTGTTAATACAGTTAGGTAGTTCATTCAAAAAAGCATCCAGGGCATACCTACAAAAAATAAAAAGTAACATAAATGAGTTGTATACAGATTATGGTATGTAGTTGAATTACTGATAATTGCACAATTGCACAAATGCACATACTTGTTGGAGACATTGGATGGCTGTGCCTCTTCTTGCTCCATGTCAGGTACTGGAAGAGGTCCCTCGCTGTCACTCAGTTCATCTTCCTTCAGATCTTCATCTAACATTTCTTCTGTTACTGTTTCAGGCTTACTCTTTACTGTCTGTAATTATAAAATAACATAAATATTAACTACATTGGTAACTAGAAGAACAAACATACAAGGTCATGTAAGTTAAGATAACCTTTTTGATTTTAGTATACAAAAGTTGATGATGAGAAAAAAAAGAAGATGATGATGACTCAGAAAATATTATTAACTTACCTCCTTCACTTGATAGTTTGGCATGAAGACTTTTAAATCTGGTAAGCTAGTATAAAATGTCCTGGTGTCTTCATCTTGCCATGGATCAGTACCAGCTTGCATGGTGAACTCTTCATTACCACCAATAGTCACAGTCCCTTGTGTCTCAGTCACTGTGAGGGTCAATGTGGGAGGTTCTCCAGCTTCACCTAATTCTTCACCTAACACTTCAGCAAAGCTTTGAGCACCTGCTAGTAGTTTGTCATAGGTAGCCTGCAAAATAGTAGAGGAATACATAAAACATTACTTATAAATGCTCACTATAAACAAAGTAGTCTAATAAATAATATATAAATACCTATAATCATAATTAATTGTAGGTAATACTTTTAAGGCTAAGGATTCTATCAAAACCATTTTTATTCTGATATAAATATGTATGGAAGGAGACTAATGTAAGAAATATGAAAGACAAAGCAAAAATTAAAAGATTTAATGTGTCTGATATTTATTTAGATATCTATAAAATTCGATGTATAAAATTCGATTCTATGTATAAAATTCGAGAGTCCCTTCTAATAAATTAGAAACTTCAAAAATATAACTACCTGATGCTGCTCCAGCTGATCCTTTCTCTCTTGTGACAACTCCCCTCTGGTATGAAGTGTCCTCTGATTGGCTGCATGCAAAGCCTGCAGTTGTGTCCTCTCAGCTAGTAAATGTTTAGTAAGTGATAGAAAGTAATCCTTCAAAAGGGTTCTGACAGCTGTTTGTTTTTCAGCAGGCAAAAATGGATTTCTAGGAATAGTCACATTATATTTCTGGAAATAATAACTATCATTAAGTACATATTCCAACATATTTAACCAATTTTATTTTGTGCTTTCATTTTTCAGTTACAACTTACTTCTGCGGCTTCTCTGATTTTCTTTGGTACTAAACCAGCATAATCCTCCCCACAATGTTTACAGAATGACAATAATATTGGTATATTGTTGTGCTCCTCCTTATCCATATTTATCAGAACAGTAAGAACATTGCCTAATAATGGAAGGCCCATCTTATTTGTAAATATTCCAACAGCTACCAGTTCTGCATAAAACCGGATATCCACACGCAATTTGGATGAGTTAGTTATTTTATCAGTAGCTTTGAAAGTTAGAATTTTCTGCCAATTTTCAAAGAAATTGGATGAAAAATCTGCATAAGTGCGATGCAATGCCGAGCACAAGTTTATAGCAGCTGCAATGTCAGACATTTTCAGCTTAGCTTCCGCAATAGCTGCAGCCACTTCGGATATGTATTTTGTGAGATTTAGTGTATTGAAATCTTTTAAAAGTGCATCAATTTGTGTTGCACTAAATGACTTCAACTTCTTCACAAATGTTGTATTTTTCTTTAGACCAGAATCCAATTTCGAGAAATAGTTATCCGGGGGTCGGACACAGTTCAAATTTTGGTTTCTAAGTTCTGTCTTTTGTTTTACTCTCGATTCTAGGTTAGTTGTGTATTCATCGAGGGCTGCTTTCTCATCTTCCGCAGTTTCTGTTTTGGGATCTGTGTCAGTCTGTTGTTCATTTTTCTCCGAGTCTTTTTCGGTGGACGTCATGTTAATAGTCATTTAGTTAACATAATATCAGTCAGTCCAGGATTTGAGTAGATTCTTCAAGTATCAAGTAATGGAAAATAGTATTTTCGTACTTTTTCTGTTGTTCTTGTTTACTATTTGACGGATTTGTCAAATCAAAACGACAACGTGAAATGACAATGACGTTTGAATAGAAATATTCGTATTGTTATCGTCGCTACACTTCGATAAAACTTAATTTATAGGTATAAAAAAAATGTGATAATTCAATATTTCGATTTTTTTTTAATTAGGTTGTTTTTTTTTAATTAGGTACTGTCCCAATAAAAATATTTTTGTTATAGGCTACGATTATAAGTCCTAAGTCCATGAGTTCTAATTAATATTAAAGTTAAGACCTAAGAACAAAGTTTATTTATATGCATTGAATAATAATAACTTAATAACAAGAAAAAATATGAAATAAAGGACGTTGAAAAAAAAACTGCAAGGATAAAAGGTTTGTACCCTAGAACGTCCAACCATAAACTAATATTTCGGTAAACGTCAAACGTCAATGTCCCACAGTTGACAGCAAAGAGTATAATAAGTATAGGGGTAGTTGACAGTCAATCGTAAATAATCCGTACCTACTTACGCTTGTCAAGTCAAACTCAAAACTCAGAGAATATTATTATAGAAAAAATACTAACCTGTATAAAACTAAAAAATATCTATTTGTAACATGTGTGGAATATTTTGTGAAATATGTTTAAGCAATAAAAAATCGACTATGGTATTTAAGATTTTTGTAAAACAAAAACAAAATATCTTAAATCGTATCTTATCTAAATAACGAATTACTTTTAGGATGCACAAGTAAAGAAACGCATTAAAAACAGAGGGCCCGATAGATCTAATTTATTAGAAATTGCCTTAAGTAATGATATGAAAGCATTTTTCTATGCTGCGGTGTTGTGGATGCAGGGTCCCGAATTAACACCACAGCCTGTCGAAACTGAACAGGGTGTGTTATTGTATAATGGAGATATATTCGATGAAACCTGGCCCAGCAATATTAGTGACACATTGGTTATTAAGGATAAACTACATGACAAGTCTGTATGTTATTTCTTATTTCCTAAATTACCTTTTTTATTTCGTTTGTTATTGTCAATATAAGCATAATATTACTTTCCAGAAAACACTGTCAGAGGAATATGTCATACAACAATTCAAATCATTTAAAGGCCCCTTTGCCATAATTTACTTTGATAAAATAAATAACAAAATATATTTCATGAGAGATAGAATTGGAAGAAGTACTTTACTGTTTCACCACAGTGAAAATTCTATCATAATCGGGAATGTTTTGGGAAGAAATTATAACTGTGTTGAAGTTCCAGCTACACATATTCAAATGTTAAATTTAAATACTAATACAATAAAAGTATACCCATGGAATGAAAATGAATTAAAGACTGAGGAATATTTAATTGAAGATTGGTTAGAACAACTAAAAATGCAACAAAGTTTACCAGATGATGAATTTCATTTTGAATATATTGAAGAACAATTTAAAGAAAATGTAATGACTCTTTTTGCTTAATTGTTACTTTTAAGATAATATAGGAAATAAAATCTATTTGAAATAATTTCAGGATGAGATAATTAAATTGATCACATCTACAGCTGCTTCAACACAATGTAAACTGTCAGCAATGAAAATACTGATAGAGGATGACTTAGTAAAGAAAACAGTCTTAAAAGTTACGGAACTACTGGAGAAGAGTATTAAATTGCGTTTACAAAAGCAACCAAACAGGTGTAAGACATGCTTAAACATTCAAGGTTACTGCAATCATTGTACTGTTGGAATATTATTTTCTGGTGGCCTTGATTGTACAATACTAGCTGTACTAGCAGATAAGTATTTACCCAGGGAACAAAGTATAGACCTCATCAATGTAGCATTTAAAAAGGATGAAAAATCTACATTTGAAGTCCCTGATAGACTAACAGGAAAGCAGTCATTACAAGAACTGCAAAAGCTATGTCCAACCAGGTAAGCCTATTATGTTTACTGTTACTATATTTTTAATACTACTAATTTAATATTAACTATTTGTGATTTTAAGGGATTGGATCTTTAGAGAAATAAATGTTTCAAGAGAAGAACAAGAAAAGTACCAAGAGGATATTATAGGAGACCTTGTATATCCCCGAGAAACTATCTTAGATGAAAGTCTGGGGACTGCATTGTGGTTTGCTGCTAGAGGCCAAGATTGCTTACATAATGTGTCAACCAGCCGGGTAGAACAAAATTAAGAAAATAATATTTTTTTTTAATATTAGTTCAGTAACATACTGATAAGATAATTAATTTCAGGTTTTACTAATAGGTTCTGGAGCAGATGAGTTGTTTGGCGGCTACACACGGCATAGAAATGCTTTCAAACGGAAGGGTTGGCAAGGTCTCAACAAAGAGTTACTGCTAGACTGGAAGAGAATCTCTTTCAGAAATTTGGCTCGTGATAACAGAGTTATATGTGATCATGGTAGACAACCTCGAATGCCATATTTAGATGAAGATTTTACAAATTATATACTACAATTAAAACCATGGCTAAGGTGCATATATTATTGTTATATTATATCTTTTATTCTATAAATGTTTAATATTTTCGAATTTCGGTTTTCGTCTTTTATGAATTACATTTCAATTATAAATTCAGTGAAAGTAATTTAATAGTTTTGTACTGACATTACAGGTGTTTCCCCAGTGAAGATTTGGGCATTGGTATTGGGGATAAACTCATGTTAAGATTAGTTGCCTTAAATCTTGGTTTAAATGAGGCTGTTATTTTACCTAAACGAGCTTTACAATTTGGGTCCAGAATTGCAAATAAGAAAGAGAAAGGTAGCGATATATCGAAAACTTTCAGAAATAAAAATATTAAAATTTAGACTGGTATTTTTCTATAAGCATTAAATATTAGTATTATCTAATTATTTATTAACTAGCTAAAACTGGATTGCGATTACGCTTCAAACGTGATTGAGCCATGCATCGACATCAATGGGCCGGTTCAACCGTAGTGATACGACAGCTTCATAGAAATTCGGCGTGAATCAACACTTGCGTTGTTTCATCGAGTCCCCGAAAGTCAGAAATGCACTTGTAACTTCTCTACTGGAGTCGTTGGTATACATAGGCCGTAGGTGAATGATTGGATTTTATTAGGTGGTCTGTATTCGTTAGCTGACAAGGACGTTGAAAAAGCTGATGAAAAACATAAAATTAGCACAATATTGTTGTTTTTCTCAAAAGCCAATTATTCAATCATCTGCTACATTTTCGATAGGTAAAGCCACACAGTCAATTCACGACTAAAAAAGTTACTAAATTCACACCTCTATAACCATAGACAAAATTAAAATCTGAGTTGAAGTTGATTGATCAACATTACTTTCAATCACTCACACCACAAACCTATCAGTGTAGCATTCCGAATATATATAAATAAAACATTACCCACACATAGAATACGAAAATGGCTGCAAATCGTCGCAAGCAGGACGATAAAAATTTAGAAATTTTACGTGAGCTTATTTCACTCAATGGGAACAAGTATTGTTTAGATTGCAACCAAAGAGGACCTACATACGTGAACAGTACAATAGGTTCTTTTGTTTGTTCAAAATGCTCGGGAATGTTGTAAGTATTGTTTCTGCGTTATTCTGCTTTTGTCTGACTGAATAAGATCAACAAACAGATTTCTGTATTGTGTTTCAGGCGTGGTCTTACACCGCCTCACCGCGTAAAGTCCATTTCCATGGCCACTTTCACGCCGGAAGAAATAGAATTTATAAAGGCAAGAGGTAACGACTACTGCAGGCGCGTTTGGTTAGGCCTTTACGAGGGTGAAAGTGTGAATTTTACTGATGAGCAAAGCGTCAAAGATTTTATGTCTGATAAATATGAAAAGAAACGCTATTATCTGGATTCGCCTGCAATTACGACCGCTCCCGTCAATGGAAGTTCAACGAAGAATAAGCCTAAACTTAAGACCGGAAGTAACGCGTCGAGCGCAGCGCCTTTGATATCGATTTCGCCGCAAACATCGAAAAATACGGTCAATAATAACACGGTCGTTCAAACTGCGAAAGTAGTGAACAATTTGCTGCCTGCTAACGACTTGAGTTACAGAGTAGCTCAACCAGTCAACAATTTGGTAAAGCCCATCATGAACACTGTAAATGTCACACCAGTACCTGCTGCTGTACCAGCCTCAGTACCTGAGTAAGTTTTATGAGATGATGATGAGATATGGGATATTTACCTTTTTAAAATACTTTAAAATACTTTATTATAAACCAATGTATTTATTTTCAGTTTTCCTGTCGATTTTTCTACAGCAAATATTTATAATAGTAGTCAGATCAATAATAATGTGAACAATAGTTTTGCAACTCCTCCGTCCATGGTTGCACCAGCATTCAATGCTTTTAGTACCCCTCCACAGCCTGCAAGTAAGTTGACCTGTTTATTTCGTTTTAAATATTGGACAGATATTTCTTTGCAATCGTCAATCAATCATGTCTTTACTTTGACACAGATGATCGCTATGCTGCACTGGCAGATTTAGATATGGCTTTAAGACAACAAAACATGAAACATATGGGTAAGTTTATTAAACTCTTTATTTACGTGCATTTCTCATTGTTTATCTATAAAAATGGCTATTACATTAGTTTGCTGAATAGTTGTCTATTTAAGTATTGCTTAAAGTAGTTAGTTGACATCACATTTAAGGCTTAAAATATTTGATAATAATTGTAATTTTAACATTTCAGAGGAAAATAATGTTGTAAATAATAAAAATCCATTCCAAAGTACCACAACCAATGATCTGTTTGCCAGTAAAAATCCATTTTTCAATGGAGGATGGAGCACCACCACAACAACGGTACCAGTCAATCCGTTTATGGTAAGATTATTTTCTTACAATCTGAAATATTTTTGACACAATAGAAATAAGAATAAAATCAAATAAGAGCTTGTAACAGTCCCATCTTCAACAGGAAAATGTAAAAAAAATTGGATTTATTTGCCTCAATATCAATAAGGATACATAATAACTCTATGTTAATTTAAATTATATTATTTTGGAGATCTATTTTTGTGACATCTGTTTAAATTATCCTTGAAATTGTTTATTGTCTAGTGTAGTACCTGTTTGCATTTGGTATTGACAGATCTAGCAGGCATGTCATTGAATTAAGTTGATGTTTCCTTATGTTGAGGTACATCATAATAATGCATCCAAATTCCAGTGGCCATAATGGTTCTTCATTGTCCATGAATAATCTGTACCAATATAGACCTAACAATCTTTTGCTATTAATTGTTTGTTTTTTTTTTTATCAAGCCATAAATTTCCATGAAGAATTAGAACAAATGTGAATTCATTATTGGCTGTGCACATCCACTCTTAAAAATATAGAACCCTAAATGTTTAACATCTATTTGATGCATACAATATATCTTGATTTCAACTAGCTCAGATCCAGGTTCCATGTACTTACTTATTTAAAATTTATCTACTCAATCTTTTTTGTTGTGTTGCTAAAACAATGCATATGAATGTATTCATTAAATTTATGGTCTATTTGACTGGATGTATTTTGATAATGATATCTGTTTGAAACATACAGGAAACTGCAACTGATAGTATATATTGCTCCCTACAATTTGTGTGTGACTTCATGACTTTACAGAAACAAGTGTTTATATAGCACATACTGGATAATCCTATGACTCATGGTATTTAGTGATAATATAAGTGCTAGTTAGTGATAATATTAATTTAGCTTATCTGTTTTTCAGCAGTCTACAAATAATGGGGGTTTTATGAATTCCAAGAATCCATTCCTCTGATTTGGACTACATGAAAACATAAGAACTAAGTGAGATGTCAAAGAACAAACTACGTAACAAAAAGCACAAACCAAGCTACAAATTTTTTATGTTATTGAACAATTGTATAGTAGTTGAATAATTTATTAATGTTATGCCATAGTGGAGATACAGTAACACTTCATGATTACACTGAGTAATCAGATTTCATGTATTGAAATTTTTACAAAATGTGTAATGCATAGGTCTGGATGTTATTGCATTAGCAGTCCATAGCCACCATCATGCAGCACGCTTGTTATGGTTGTAAAATTGAGTGCCTCAATATGCCTTACATTTTTTTATATGTATATTTACAATGAATTATTCAAACTAGAAAATGAAAGTATTGCGATTATCTGGATAGAAATGTTAAAAATATGAACAAATTGTGTATAAATATTAAATATTGGTGAAGACTCTGGTTTTAGCTTTATCCTAAATTATTTAGATAGTATTGTATTTGATATGACCAGTAAATGACGAAGCTATTTACGTACATTAATATTAGTATTGCGAAATTGAAGGCACAGGTAACATAGAATGTATTTGTAATCAGGTGCCTTGTGTGAGTAAGTTATGTTCAGTGAGTCAGCCAGGGGCCGAATGGCGTCGTCCAATGATGTCATAAAGGTTACTGGCCTTATTTGATAGTTTGGAATTGTATGGAATGGTACAAAATTTAACTATAAAATATGTAAGATATAAGATTATTGAGTATTTTAATGAGTTGGAGACCACATTTTGGTAAAAATATATTTATTGTCCAGGTATGAATTGCTCACTATCGTAATATTAAATGAATGAATCAATGAACTTCTGATAAAATCTACCACTTTACTTAGTAATGAGTTGTTGACTTTTTGTAATTTCCCCACACGAAAATGAAGTTATTTTTAATGTTATTTAATATTTTAACATTTTGCGCTTGACAAAAATTGTACTGATAATAATTTTCTTAGTCAGGGTTAATGTTTATAATATACTCTTATGTTTTGGAAGGAAATCAGTTGCAAATGTAGTTGTAGTTAGCCAGTTAGAAATTGAGCTCTCAAATTATGTGCTTCATCTGTGATTGTAATCAGTTTTATTTTTATTTGCAAGGAGCTAACTTGAACAATTTTTTTCTAATCAATGCACTTTCCTATTTATTTAGTTCATAATATAATTGTTTTTTTACTATTTGAGCACTAAGATCTGTTAATTTGTATAAATAAAATAATCACTATTATTTTTTATAAACCTTGTTTTTTTTACTTTACTATTCTGTATACTACTAGTGTAGTAGTTACATTCTTTACATAAATACTTATCTAATAAAATAAAAAGACTAAAAAAACTTGTGGATTCTTGAATGCGTTCTAATTTATTACATAATATTATATTTATACATACAAGTGACATTGATAATATACTTAAATTATAACAGTCAGTCTCTTCACATTTTACATTTTTTAGATATAGTTTGTCACATTTTGTATTTACTGCTTTTTCGTGCAAATACAGGTGTAGAGAAGTTGTCGGGTGTTACATTAGGGCTCGGTAATGGTGTTTTAGGAGTTTCATGTGATAATGATACTGTCGACGCATTCTTTATAGCATCCGGTAAGTCCTCAGGTAAATTCGTTGGTTGTGAGGTTGTTGCAGATGATCTTTTTTCCGATATTGTTTTAAGAATATTTTTACCAGCTTCTTTAGTCTGTAAATATAGCATTATGTTAAATGTCTTATTTTATAATTTGATAACATCAATTTTATTCACAGTATCTAATATTTATTTTGGGAAAATAAAAATATCAACTTACACTTTCATGTTCCAAGCATTTGTAAGCATAATGGGCAGCATGGTCAAGCAACGAAAATCTAAGATAGTACTGTGCTAAATAACGCTGTGCCGCTGGTAATTCCTTACTGCCTGCATTGGCGGGGTCTTGACAAGCAGCCGTATAAGCCGCCGCCGCACTATTTGGCATATTAGACTTTTCATATAACCTGAAACAAAGTTTTAAATAGCAATATTTATGTAAGTTAAATAAATCATCATTATCAGTGTTATCAATGATGTAACATTGCATTGAAATAGTTTAGGTAATACTGTAGATTTTTTAATTTTCCTATTCACTAGCAAGCAATGGCAGCTAAACAATAACACAAAATTTTAGACAGTAACTTACTTAGCTAGTTTAAATAGGGCCATGCCTTCAATATCACCGGTGCTGTGAGCTTTGTAGTAACATTTCAGTGCATTAGGGATTTTATCCATTTTCTCATATGCTTCTCCGAGGGACACCAACATTCTCGAATCATCGGGTTTTAGCTGTGCAGCTCTTGAATAGTAATATATACAGTAACCATTGAGTCCTAAGATTTCATAAGCTTGTCCAAGACCATTCCAAGCTCGGTAATCATTCCTGTTTACATCTGAAAATAATTTCATTATGTTGTACTAAAGGATATGAGAATTTTTAGAATTTGAGCAATTTCTTATGGAATAAAAAGGTCATTTACCTATAGCTTGTCTGTAACACTGTATTGCAGCATTAGAATTTTGTAGTTCAATAAATTCATGCCCCATGAGGATCCATGCAGATAGATACTGAGGATCTAATGAGAGTGCCCTTTGGAAGTATATTACAGCTTTCTGATGTTCACTTCTTAAACTATAATAGTTCCCTGAAAGTACAAATCACTTTTGTTATTCACAAAACTCATTATTTCAATTTTGTTGTATAAAAATCAATGCAACTTACCAATAACACAACATGTCTCAACTCTGTATTTATCTATAGATACAGCTCTTTGAGCCAAGTTTGCAAGTTCCATTCTTTTTTCTTTGAGATAAAGAAGATGAGAATATACATCCCAGTTGTCCAATCTATATGGATCATTTTGATACAACTCACGGAACAATGCCAGCGATGAATCTACATCTAAAATAATAATGTTAATGTATTAATTGCTCACTGTATATTTAACACTGTTAGTAAATTCATCAAAAGAATTTAAAATTACCTCTTCTATCATGGTGAGCAATAGCCATTTGAGCAGTGACATAAGTACTCTTTTCAAACCCTGCTGCAACCAATACCATGTAGGCTTCCAAAGCTTGTTCTGATAATTTCAATTCAACAAAAGCATGTGCAGCAAAGAAATACATCATCCAATGCTGAGGGAGTTGGAATGAATCTAATGCTTCATACTCATTGGCTAGACCTGCAAGCTCCACCCAGGCAGACCACAGGGTGGGAGCCGCTGCCACTGCAGCCTGCAACACTGTCACTGCTTGACTTCTCAAGTCAAGTTTTTTCAAAACCACACCCTCTAAGTACAACAGATATCCATCTAGATTGTTTTGGTTTGCCTGGAAAATTTAATTGAAAATACTAGTCAATAACATTGGATTATAAACTTTTAGTTACATTTGACTGTTTCAGATACTTAAGTATGGTCTATTAATATAATCATTTTATTCATTTTTAGTGATACTTACTTTAAAATATGAGAGTAAATCCAATAAAACTTGTGTTGACTCTGTATTTTCTGTGCCTAGATCTGTAGCATTGTCCAATCGTTTTTTCTCACTTGACATATATTGTGAATATTTATGGAGAAAAACACATTTCGAACTCAAGCAATTTTCTAAAAAATGTGCAGCCCTGTCGTATTCTTGACAGTCGAAATAAGTTTTAGCCAAGGTGTAAGCTTCTCTTTCTTCTGATGAAATATCATCTTCCTGAGTAGTTGGAGGATGTTCATACGTTATTTTGTGATCCCTCAAAGAGTAATTTAACTCGGCTAGCCATTTCGTAGTTTGTGTAAGTCCACGATCTGTGCATTCACGGATGCCATGTAGTATATCGATCCTTACTTGGTTTATATCAATTTTAATGTCACCCTTAGAATTAAGTGATAACGGCTGCATGTTATTGTAATTCAATGACATAGCATTAAGTGTAAATGCAGTTTATTTTTCAGAATATAAATCCAAGAACCTCGCAAACGTAACTCATAAACGGCAAATCCGAAATGACAATAGTTAAATTTGACATTTGACTTTGACGTAGAATGATAGAAGCTCCTTGTCTATACAATGTTGTTTTCCAGGTTCGGAAAAAAATATATTTTAACAATGTGGTATCTCCTACTATCCTTTTTACTCTATTGTAAATGGAAGGAAACACAAATATATAAAAAACGCGCTATTCCCATTTACAGAAACTCAAGCAAGGAAATTGCATCGCATATTTCCGTGTCATGTCGTATCGTACCTACTGTCATTTTGTTTTGTCAATCAATTCTCCAGGCAATGTTTTAGATTAACATAGAAGTTGAGTTGAATTTAATATTTATGTTACACTGAAGTCTCGAGTCGATTTTATTCAGTTATTGCTAGGATTCCGAAGTGTAAACACTCCTGTGTGGAGAGTTTATTATTCCGAGAAAACCAGACGTAAACTAAGTATCGATTTGAAAACAATACTGCTTTTTGCTTGTAATTAAAAGAAAAATATTCAAGCAATGGCAGAACAAAACACAGAAACAACAACAACTGACGTGGAGAACACCTACACGGCTCCGGGCAATGATCCAAAAAACATGCAGGAGGTGACACAATATGTAAGTTTACACTTTTGCAGTACCTTTGATTAATGTTTTGGAAGTTTACCTATTGAATCAACGTAATTAATAACACATTAGGTTGAATTTATTACGTAATTTCGATACTATATTCAATCCGTACTTAATAATTATTGTAGATTGAATTTAAAATTTTTTCTATGGGGGTTAATTTGGTAGTCTGGCTGGATTCAATAGTAACTGCAATACCCTTGTAACGTTTTTAATGTCACCATCATTTCAGTCATGCTGCAACCAGTAGTTATTACATGATATATAATCCATTTTAGCAATGATTTTTTAGCTCAAAACATTATTGGGTTGTGTTTCGTCGTGTGAGTGAGGTTGCTGGAGGCCCAATTACCCCCCTTCTTAGTCCCCGTCTCCCGAATCCCCGAATCCTCCACAATCCTCAAATTCCCAATTCCCAAAAGGCTGGTAACGCACTTGTAACACCTTAGTGTTTCGAGTGTCCATGGGCGGCGCCGATTGCTTACCATCAAGTGATCCATATGCTCGTTTACCGGTTTATCCTATAAAAAAAACTTGACAGAGTCCAGAAAAAAGTTGCCTCCTTAAGAAAATCTAAATTTAAACTATTACAAATATTATTTTTTACAGGTTCAGTCACTCTTACAAAATATGCAAGACAAATTCCAGAGTATGTCAGATCAGATCATTAACCGGATAGATGAGATGGGGACTCGTGTTGATGAATTGGAGAAGAATATAACAGATCTTATGACACAAGCTGGTGTTGAAAATGAGAAGTAGTACCTAATAAACCTAGCAGTGATCCTAGATGTAACAATCACACCACATTGTTTTGTGCCTGAATCATGTCATTTTTACCATTTAGCGTCAAAGTAAAATACATTAAAACAAAAACAAAGATTGAATAGGTGATATCACTCCATAGGGGCTGAATGATTGTGTGGCTCATGTATTATAATAATAGTAATATTGTTATATAAGACCATCCTTTATAAATAGATAAGATAATATTATTTAAACATAAGTAAAAAGGCAGGGGAAGGGCCATAGCCAATTTGCAAGTTTACTCCATCTTATAGGGGCAATAATTTTCATAAATATTCATAAAATTACATGAAGTGTAACACCAATAAATAATTTTTAATATGAACAGTTAAGTGAATATTGTTTGTATTAACTCGTCGAGTACCGGTTTTATAGACACAATTAAAGAACAATAGGTCGCGGTCACCGGTGACCGCTCGGTGTTTGACAGATTATTACATTTGTAACACAAAAATCCAGTGTTTCATTGTGATAGAATTGGATATACATATTTTAATTTTAAAAACCATTTAGACTAATACATGAGTGAAAGAAATCCAATAGTGGTATGCACCCATTATGGTACCATAATTACTACTTTTAGACTGGCTAATTTACACAATAGACATAATATATCAGGTGGTATATTCAAGCCTTTAGTGCATGTAACGTAAGAGTAAAACAGTACCATATAATAGAGGTAAATGGCATGAAGTTTGTGGAATTGTTCATTGGCATATACTGAATGATTTAAGATATTTGAAGTGTTCCTTTCTTATTATACATAGTACGCTAGTAGTTTTCTAATAGATGGGAAGTGGATACCTAAAGGCAAAGCAATATGGAGTGATCAGATAATTGGGTTATTGTAAGATTCTAGCATTTTACTAAGCACAGTGAATGTACTATAGTATCTGTGTTTGCGCAACTATTTGTATGATTGTTTATTTTGTAATTAAATTGTGTTATATTATAAACTTGATGTTTTTGTTACTAGGATAAACAAGGGGTTAGTATGTAGAGGATGAATATTGATCAGGACGGTGCCTGCCGCATAATGGTACGAGATAGACAACACGATCGCGTGTACATTACCTACTAAAGGAAACCATTATGTAAAGGCATCGTAATTCCACGTACGCTTGTGTGTTCCTTTGAGCCTTTTGATAAAAGAAAACTATGTTTATGACTTGAATTTAGCTTACGGTTCGCAAGTTTATTCAAATTCACACGACAACGACTTTAGTCTCCGGGCTAGCGAAGTTATTTTTAGGGGTGAATTTAATACTTGCAGTAATTCAGACATTTTACAATAAACTCTGGATATTATTCATTGTGTGTGGATGTAGTTAAGCTGTATCTTTTCGCCTCTGTAATACGTGTAATCAATCCTGCATGATGTGCAAACGTGTCCTTACTGCCTATAGGCATGATAAATTCTTATGCTCAAGAAATGAATAAATATGTACAAAATAGAATGTTTAAAATATTTATAACATTATTAAGTTACCTACTTAGTTAGTAAAAATATAGTTTAACAGCAAGACTTGTTTAATATTTTGCAGTTAATTGGTGAACACCAAAGGTTGAATTATATTCTAAATAAAACAAAACATCATTAAATATTCAGACAGTGTATTATTTTATTTTTCACGTTATACCAATGTAGGTGCCTACTTGATATAGGTAATTTAAACTGCTAGGAATCTACTAATCAGATAAAATACGAACACAAAATAAATCAACGTGATTCAGTCTCCTCCGAAGAATCTTCATCGGTTTCCTCAGATTCCTGCAAAAAGAAAAGTGATTTAACACGATGTAATTTAAAAAAAAATTAAAATAATAACGACATTACCGATGTCTCCTCCTCTTTGTTAGCTGAATTATTCATGAGTGCTGCAAGTGAGCCAGTTCTAATCAGCCCCGGATTACCATACTTTTCGGGCGATTTCGCCTTTCGTGCACTCTGTAAATAGGGGCAAAATGAAACAAGTAGGTAGATACCTATTTTGAAAAAAATAACCATTACCTAGGTACCCAATGCCTAATGAAAACAACCTAGTCACACCGGCTCCGTTTTAACAGCATGTGAGTAATGAGTCCTATGTATAGTCTCTGCCTATCCATATGGGATAACCTATTGCCATAATGGATTCAAAAATTGTTTAGATACTTACCCAATATTATTTTATCCAACCCGTACCAATCGACTTATGGAGCTAGTGAGGGTTTACGCGAAGTAAACATTCGACTATAGGTACTCAATTACTCTGCTAATACCTAGGTTTCTAAGTCTTAGTAGGTATAGTCTACACATTTACGGGCCTACCTACTTAGAAGTATGATGTATGCAGGTACCTATTTAATAATAAGTAATAACTATTTAATTTATCCTATTTGAATCTCGAATTCTAGTGAGTAGGTAGGTAGGTATCGGTACCTGCAAAAATAAATACTAACCGCGGATTCGTCATCATTAGTAGGAGAGTGTGGGTTCATGAGTGATGCGAGAGACGAAGATCTAACTGACATTCCAGGATTGGGTTGTTTCTCTGGTGAGCGGAGTTTTCTTCTAAAGTTCTGTGTAGTTTTAAGTAAGTACATTTTATTGACAGTAATATGAGTAAGTAGATAAGTAAGTATACCGTAAAGGTACCGTAAATCATTAAAGAATATTAGAGAATTTATGTATAGGTGAGTATTTACCGTTTGATCCTCGTTATCTGAAAGACCTGTATTCAAACGCTTCACACAGAAAAAGTAATTATTAGAAAATTATCTAACAAAAGTAAGCAAATCTCTACATCCTATGGTATGTACGTAAGATTTAGTCGTTTCGTTTATTCAAGAGCTTAATTACCTCTAGGTCAGCTTTATCATTGATGTCACTGATCTGTTGATAAGCAACAGTAAGTAGCTCCACTGCCTTCGCGTGGAAATTCATTTCAATCATGACAAAGTCTGACAGAAGTGTCTTCAGTTGCTGTAGTTTCCGGCGCTCGAAGAACTCAGTCTGCTCACTCAAACCCTTAGCCGTACGAGACATTTCCGCAGAAGCCTTGAGAAGTTCAGATTCTGCATATGTCTATAATTGAACGATCTACATTTTAATAACGCACCTAATGAAGGTTTTTAATTTTAAATCACCAAATATTGGACACCTAAAGCATCAAGAACTAAAGTAGTAAGGTAGGTAAGTACCTATCTATGTACCTACTTACATAGATATTATAAGTTATAATGTAAAAAATATTTTGTAGGTGGTATATCTATCTACAATCATACTTACATTACATACATACAGACAGACTATACATAGGCATTATGCATTAAATAAAATGGTACTTATCTAGGTAAATAACATTAGGTACCAAAATAATCCTACATTAATAATTAAAGTATGGTGCGTGCTTAAACTGGCTGAACTCTAAAAAACCACACTTACAGTACAGTAAACATGATATACGCACAAGCCATACTTTAGATGGTACTTTTTGTGGTCTTAGCCTGAACAGTTCCAGCCCCAGAACATACGATTCTGTACCTTGGCACGGGTGGTACCGCATTATTTACGGCACTGTATTTATCTATTTGCTTATTAGGTATACGTTAGGGTAGGTAACCAAATCCGGCGTAGCGATTGGATTGCTGCGGTTAACCGCACATAAGTACCTATGTCAAGTTCATAGTATAAGTACCCAATATACCTAAACCATTAGCTGAATTAATTAGGTGCTATTAATACAGGGGTTAACTTACAACTTGCTGTCTGTTAAACGGCTGCCTCTCCCTAGCTTTGTCTAGCACTTTCTTGCGAGCAAGCTCCTTTTCGCGGACGTTCATTGTATGCTTTAACTCTTCCCTGGCATGTTTACAAATGGTTTCGTATTGGCACAGCTCTCCAATCACCTAAATATTTTTTGAGTTTTAAACTTAAGCATAGGTAGGCACTAGCATAGACAGGCCTACCTATGCTTATCTTTGAACTAGGACTAGGTACTTCCATGCCTCCATAAAGTTAAATTAGGTAACGACACAACGATACTTCTATTAGAAGCTTAATATTAAATCAACAACAAATTACCTAGGTACTTTTTTCATTGCTGAGTTACGTTTATAAATTAATCAAATCATCCAAAGTTACCGTAGACCGCATCATCGCTTACCACCAGGCAAGATAGTGGTCAAACGTAGGCAGTAAAGTAGGATCTTTTCGATTGGTGTATTTTTCTAGCCTCGTAGGTATTCTCGAGAACCTAAGGTTAGAGCGCTCCTGAAATAGTTCTTGCCCACGAAGGCACGAAGCAATACAAGTTGGCACCTATAAAACATCTATATGTGATATTGCTTTCACATTATTTTTCAGTGTTTCTTTTCGGAAGAAACAGTATAATATTAACTTTTAAATAATTTTATAGTAGCCAACCGTAGTTATTTTATTTATTCTCACACTTTTATGAAGGTCTATAGGCACAATATTAGTTGTAATGTAATGTGTTGTTCATTTACCTTAGCTTCTAGACGCTGTACTTCGCAATTTCTGTACTCTTCAATGGCCGTTAATGTAGTTGAAAGATTTTCTAAGCCGTTGCTTAAAGACTTATTTACGATCTCATTATTGGCGTAATCCTTAAGAACTTTAACTAGTTCATCTCCCATATCACGTAATCTGTTAGTTTAAGACAATATGATTAATGTTGGTTGATAGATAGGTAGGTGTCTATATTATGCTTTAATGTATCGTTCGTATATCACTCGTTGTCTCATATGACTGCCTCCTTGGCCGAGTGGTCGCAAGTGCGACTGCTGGGCAAGGGGTCTCGGTTCGATTCCCCGGTCGGGCAAAGTATTACAGAGTTTTAAGAAAAATCTCAATAGTAGCACGGAGTCTGGAATTGTGCCCGGTATATGGCAATAGGCTCACCCCCTATTACATGGGATTCATAACATAAATAGTGAAAAGTGGTTGTTACATTGTACAGTGGTATAATGTGCACCTCTGCCTACCCCTTCGGGGATAAAAGGCGTGATGTTATGTTATGTTGTATCATATCACTTCTTTTATTCTCCGAAGGGTAAAGGTATCCCGTGTAAAATATCTTGTCATCTTCATAAACAAAAAGAGGAAGGCATGTAAAAGCTGTTTTCGACGTTAATACCATACTTTTTAATAGGTAGATAATAGTCACTAGCAAATCCACCACAACCACAGAAATATATCAGTGATCACAACGAATGTAGGTAGGTACTTATTTATAATAAATAAACATAACTTATAATTAACAAAGTTTTACTCGCCTGGCTGTTTTTCTAGTATAATCACCAAATGCAACACAAAGTTCTCCAAAGTTTTTTTCCACATTAGTAATGCGATCTTGAATGAATTTGGCTTGCTGTTCATAACTTAGTGAATGTGGGTTATCACCTCTAAACATGTTGAAAAATAATTCAAGGTTCTCTATTAGATATATAGATTGTATCACGTGAGTATCCCGCGATTTTTAGTTAATTTAGTAGGTACGTCTCACGATAGTTAAAAAACAATATGATTCAGTGATGAAAATATTATTATGAAGTTTATTTGTTTACTATTTGGTTGCCATGGTAATAAAGCGGATGCAGATTGCAATCGCCTTGCAGTGTTCGTGGCTTTGTGTCCCGTGTGCAATCGATATGACACTCAAACAACCTTTTCCCCTTTTGTAAATAATAGAAATAGATCCTACTATAAAAGTCTGGTCGCCTCATAGATGTAATATCATAATATAGTGGTTCGCCAAGATTATTTTTAATTGCCTCATTTTTAGTGCGTGTAATTCTCGACGCGCTTTCCTTCGAGAGTCAAGACTAAATGCACATTTCCCCTACATTTATTATACTCTTTGATTTTTGATGCACATTAAACCTAGCGTTCAGATAAGGTTCGGGTGCTGTGCACACTCTGTTTGTCCTTACACTTACAGTTACGATAACAGTTTCTACAGCTGGGATTAAAAAGGCGAACGTGCACACCCTTTATCTCGGGCTACTTGTTTTTCAGATTAGCAATGGATAAACTTATATGACAATTAAAATCCTGACAATGCACTATAAAAAATAAACAAATTAATTTGATAAAGTTATTTCGCAGGTATACATGATGGGGAAACATAATTGCGAGTTAATAAAAAGTTATGAGCAGACATTAAATTTGCAATAAGCTGTATACTACAAATTACACAAAAAATTTTGGAGATTATTTTTCTGATATTTCATTCGGTTATTTCATCGGTTACATATTTAGATTTATCTATTTTGCGCGTTTATCCTAAAAACGCCCATCTCTATATACCATAGACAATATTTATGCTAAAGTACTTGATTTTCATGCCCTGGAATGCTTCGGTTGTGTGACGTAATTTTGATTGACAGTTTGAAGCTAATGTCAAATATATTTCTTTTCTGTCTGTCTGTCAAATATATTTCTGTCATCATTATTGAAATGAAATTGCCAAACTACAACAGCTGTTTGTTTTTTGTGTTTGTTTCCTTGTGATATCGACAATTTAATAGAGAAATGAATGAAGAAATAGATGAGTATGATATTTACCATCAGGATTTTACAACAGCATCAGAATGGGAAATATTCATTGCTCGTATAGAGGAGATAATAAAAGATTGGAAATTGTCGAAATCATTTTTATCTAAATTATCAGGAGGGTATACAAAGAAATGGATTGGAAAATCAGAGGAAATACAGTTTCAGGGCAACAAATACATATTATCTTATCATATGCTGGAAACGGCCAAATCTGCAGAAAGCTCTGTAGAAACAAAGGATAAGTCTATTCTTGTAGATCTGCATAATGGTCTTTGGGAATCTACAACAAAATTTATGGACGACCTTGATGGAAGTCCTTTTCCAGTTTCAAGTTGGTATGGCTTAAAACGTTATTTAATGCTGTATTCAAGTTTACCATTGGTTGATGGAAATTTAATAAAACTTGTAATGAGCTCTGCAAATATTGCTTTTGCTAACACAGACTGTGGTGTGCCTTTCTTTGTTAAGATAAGAGAACATTGGCAACCAACATATTTAGGATTCTATGAGGACACTGAACACAAAGTGAGTTTTGACACAATCCATTTGAAAAGAATTTCAAACCAGTGCTCACATCTAAGCGGGTTGGTGAGCTTATTTAAATCAAAAATTGCATCTCCTGTTGCACTAGATGCTGTTGTAGTGTCTACTAAGTTTTCTTACGAATTAAAAGATGTTGATGCATTTGCTTGGAGGAAGACCACACAGTCAAATGAGTTCCTATCAATAGAAGGATTTGATGTCAGAAAGCTATTGGAACTTCCTTTTGGTTCTGAAAAGAATCCCATACAAAGTGTGCTCCTAAATACTATCTGGCCAAAGTTCCGTGAGTGTGCTATAGTGGAATCTTCTACATTTTCTGAATATGATCCACTCATGGCTCCTACTTGGACAATTAGCCTCAAAATGAGGGAAAATTTCAATTGTCAATTATCAGAAACCATTAGTAAAATTATGGACTTATTGGATAACAACAACTTGCTTATGGATACTCTTGGGTAAGCAAAAGCTTGGGGTTGGTGAACCCCTCCATAAAATCACTGAAGCTCCAATAACTATATCTAAACTTGTCAAGGCTGCTATGGGACAAAGTAAACACATGTCTGATTTTAAAGGGCCCATAGCTGATGAGCTGCTCATGCCTCTACTGTACTATGTATTTCCTGATGCAGTTGATGACAATACTTTCAACTACCCTGAACAGCTGGAAGTAGAATTTAAACAGGTAAAATGTTAACCTTGTTTGATGATAGATGGCGCTAGGTGTAGTATTCTACATATTAATTAATGTAATGTAACTAATGTGAGTTTGCCATTTTATTTTTTTCAGGCAGATGGAGAGCAGAAGTTGTGCAGTTATGTGAAGACGAGTCCAGAGGGGGGCCTGGTATGGCGCGTGTCGGTGACTGCTGCGCGGCTTTTCGATGCTGGTGGTTTGCCGTACTTGGCACATCTATGGTATGAGTTCTGTCAGGAGCTCCAATACCGGTGGGAACATCGTATTCTCGTACCAGGGTGAGTGTTTATGATTGTATTTTTAAACACATTGGAAAACATTCTGTAGGGATTAAAAACATAGTAAAGAAAAGCCACGAAAAAATTATAATTCATATAAAACATTTTATTTTCCTTTGATAATAAATAAATATTATTCATGAATAAGTCAAGGCAATTAAACATGTTATTAAGAATTAGGTGGGGGTCGCACTACTAAGGTGACTGCAACGCGGCGGCGAATTTGGGAATAAAGTAGGAATAAAAAAGTTAGACAAAAGACAAAGCACATTTCTTGTGCACATGGAAACAATCAAATTTTCTACAAATGATAAAATAATTTGTCACACTATGTAAAACAGTTCTTTATACCACAGTGTCTTTTGCCTCACCTTAATAGAAAGTACTTAATTGTCATGCCTATGGCTAAATTGTTCTTAAATATGGGATCTTATAGAATAATAAAATATGTTTGGTACATAACATTATTATACTAAATAACACCATTTTGGATGAGGTTTAATAAAAATAAAACATTTGGCCATTTTCAAAGATTACATGGGACATTTAATTATTGTATTAATTTTATGTTACATGTCCTGTACTGTATTGCACCTCTGTAGTTTGTTTACATATACATAGATTTACATTAACTATCCATAGAACAAGGTTCCCAAACTGGAATAGAATGTGCAGTTGATCAACTTTTACACTGGTATTCACCAGTGACCTCTTGAGCTTACTGCTTATGACATTTTTCCATCTTAAGACCTAGATAAAAAAATATTTACAAAAACTAACATAAATTTTATCCGAAATATATATATGCACCACAAAATTTTATATCATCATAATATTATACAACACACATCAGTGGTAAAAAATAGTGAACACCCTGTGCTCAAAATGCAAACAATTTTATTATCATTCTACAAACAAAGTTGATATTATTCAGAATTATAAAGTCAATGGAAAGGAAATATATTTTGACTAGTCCTCACTAACCAATGGTTATAATTTAACGTTTTATAAAAATATGTTACATGTTAAAAGGACTAACAGTATAAATATTTATTGCATTCACATAGTATTTTGTGAAGAATATACATAATGAAATTACAATATTTTAATTAAATCTATCTTTAACATAGTTTCTACATTAGAGCATAAATACTACCATTTACAATTCTTTAACCTAAGGATAGAAGTTATTGTATGTACTGAAATTAAGTACAAGTATTACAACTATCGTCACGTTGTAAAGGTAACAATATTATTACGAAAAATTAATATTTAAACGGATACCGGACACACTGGCTCTGACCCGCGAATCGGCTACAGTGCGCGTGCGCACGTCGCTTGTTTTTTTTCTCATGGCTATGTCGGCGAGAATGTCGGTGGCCTTTCCGGGCTTCATGACTGCACCACGAGGTATTATAGCCCTCGGGAGCCCTTCGCGTAGGCGAGGAGCGTCCTCGACATGTCATATCTCCCCGCGGCGCCGGCGTGTCCCTTACACGCTATAAAGGTACTAATCCACTCCGAGTCGTCGGGTTCCGTGCCATGTAAATATCCATATCATGATCAGTCCAGTTGTCGGAAGTGTCACAGTATCCCATACCTATAGAGCCGACGCTGTATCTGCTGGCTGGTCGGGACCTTGACCGCGGCCTTCTCCGAGATCCTGCAGTTCCGCCAGTGGCTCCGCCGGCAGCACCACTTAATGATAAACGGGAGGCACGTTCTGATGCTGCTCCTAGGGACTGTCGCGATTGTCGGAGATCTAAAATTTAATACATTTTCGATATTGTTACTGGAAAATGTAATATTGTGCAATTCGATGTAGTGAAAAAATAAGTAAAAGCCGGAAATGAAATGAAGAGGTAATTCAAAGCGATAGTGTAACTTACCAGCTCGAGATCCTAGAAGGCTACTAGGGTATCCTGGCACTCCGTATCGGCCAGAATGTGAATAGCTATGCTGTGATTGACCGTCAGCGAGAGAACGTGCTCGTCCAGGACGACCTGGTAATGGGTCCGGAGGAGCTGGTTCAGTATAGGAACGTGCACGCGGGATCGAACGTGCGCTATAAGCCGACACTTGATCCCACTCACGCTGCTTTCCAAAGGCGCCGATCGTAGCAAGCGAAGAAAGTGGACCGCTGGGGCTCGGGGTGCCGGTGAGACCTCCGCAACAAGGGTTGGGCATCTTCTCCGGAGCTTGTGTATGTAGACGATGCACGGTGCGAGATCGGCGCCGCGAAGCCGCGGCAAATACTAGTACTGCTACCACTATTGTACCACAAATGGCGGCACTGGCTGCAATCGTGATCTTATCCATATTGGAGGCAGCAGCGGAAACGGTGCGTACCTCTCGGCATTGGGAATACGGCACCGTTTCTGGACTGACGTGAACCTCCTCCAAGGAGATCACGCAGACCACTATACATTCCTGAAAAAATACAATATATTTATTTAATATTTTATGTATAGTGTTTTGAACGGGATGAGTTGATCTCTATCTCGACAACAGGCAGATGAACTTAAAATCGCGGGTTACTCACGTGAAAATAGTTAAAAAAGCTGTACTAGTTTAGATCCACAGAGGGATTCTTCCTCATGAGTAGCGATGTCAGTAGGCTGCGCGACATCGTGCAGCCTACTGACATCGCCGTGACCGCACACGCTGCTCATGAGAAAGAACCGAAAGAAAAATAATTATTAGTTAATTTAGTGTGTCTCACTATAGTTATTATAAAACCAGGCAGATGGATATATTATTGTGTAGGTACATAATGTTGTATGTTACAAACGCCAGTGGTTCAACCTTCCCATATCTGTCACTTTAAAATATTTAAAGATCCTTTTCTTTTGAAAAAAAGCAATTAATATTAACTGTACGGCCTTCCGCGATAAATGGACTATCCAACACAATAAGAGTTATTTAATTCGGACCAGTAATTTCCGAACCTAAGTGTAAATAATTAAATTATGAGTACTATACACACCTGAGATGGAACATTTTTAATTTTGAACTCTCTTTCGCTGGCTTCCAAAGGTGGTCCTTGCTTAAAGCTTTTGTCTCCGAAGAGTCGATAAACGACGCGGAAGCCGAGTATATTAGCAACGTCCGAGTCCCATTGAATGATAACAGAATTATCTTGCCTGTACGCGTTTTTTACGATAACTTCATTGGAATCATCTACTTTTGGCTTTTGTTGCGGAAAACTCATAACGAGGGGGGGACGCTGGTGAGGAGCATGGCGCCAGGTGGGTGCGGCTGGTCGGACTGAGGGGATGCGGCTGGGGCGTGCGGTGCTGGTAGTGCTTGTGGTGCTCGTATTTGGACTTTGAATAATGGTTGGTTTGGTAGGAATATCTATATTGTTACTTATTTCTGTTTCGAGAGGTGAAGATGTACTCGTTGTTGATGGTGGGGCGGCAGTGGTTGTTGACGTGGTAGTGATGGCCTGACTTAGTTTCCATTCGTTCAAATCCTTCACAGTTGGTATGGCTTTTTCTGTTGTTGATATAGATATATCGTTATCGCAAACTAATTCATTTGGCTCAAAACTATAAAAGCCACGTTCACGGAAATGCGATGGATTGCCGCAGAATTGCGGGTTTCTTTCTCGTGATGTTACTTGTAATTCTCCATTTCGAATCCATTCTATAATCCAACGCAAGCGACAATCACAATTTAGGAATCGCCCGCCTAGACTGAGACCTCGAAGAGTTTGATTGAGATGAGAAAATGCTTCCTCTGGCACTGTGGGCAAAGGATTACCATCTAATGCTAACAAAGTTATTGATGGATTGTTAACGAAAGCATCCACTGGTAACTTATTTAATAAATTGAATCCGATATCTAATACTCTTAAATCGCTCAATGTCCCTATTGCAGCAGTCGGGAATTCAGGAAGCAAATTGTTCAAAAGACTGAGAGAACTGAGCGTGCTCTTTATTCCAGCAAACGCATCATCTCTCAGATAGACAATGAGGTTTCGTTCTAAGTTTAGAGCAGTGAGTGAGTCCAGTCCCTCGAAAGTTTTACTACCATCCGGTCCTGGAAGTTCTCTGATACTGTTTTGCGATAGATCAAGAAAAGCTAAACTACGAAGGCCTCTTATACATTCGGGGACAGTTTTTTGTTTAGTCCCTTTTAAATTTAGATTTTTTAATGAGTTTTCTAATCCAGTGAGTGTTTGGGGTTCTAACGTAACATTGTTGTCAGACACTTTTAGTGTTGTGAGCTTACGAAGAGTGATGAAAGAATGACTTGCAATGTGAGAAATGCGGTTTTTAGATATATCCAATAGAGAGAGATTAATTAAAATTTTTAGGGCCTTCACAGGAACTTCAGTTAGTTCGTTATCTTGCAGGTTTAAGTTTTTAAGATAAGGGCCTTGTCCTCGGAAAGCGTCATCTTCTATTCTTTTTATTCCACATCCAGATATTTGTAAGTTGTGAATTTTAAGATTTGCAAACATGTTATTGGTGAGGACGGGTATGCTTGAATTGTTTATGTAAAGTAGATCGATAACAATATTTCGTGTGCTCATATTTAGAGCTGACAATAACGTCGGGAAGTCAACCTGTGGAATTAAATAAAAAAAACATAGTTAATAAAAGGGTCTTAACTAGACAAATGATATGAATCGTGAAAAAAGATAAGTAAGATCATTACCTGATCACATTGGACTGACAAATCTCTCGCTAAATTATGTGCACATATACATGCGGCTTGTAACGTTGGCGCACCCTCCCACGGACATTGTGTACGGGCGCATTGAGCCGTTAGCATCAGCGACATTGAAAATAACCATAGTCTTGGATGTGTATGCTTGGATTCTCCCTGAAAATAAACAAAACAGATGACATTTATTAATCTTGAATCTTTTGACAGTTAACATTGTAGGAACTAATTGAATAGCTGGCATGACCACCGACATCATGCGTCAGTGTTTTCCTATAGTGGAAATTAAAAACGAAGTAATAACCAATAACCCTAAAAAAATTCATGAAACACAAAAGTACAGAGTATACATTCCCATTGTGACAATCAATTAGCTTGATCACATTTGTACAAACTGATACGGCCGTAATAATGTGTTGAAGTTATCGTGAGGTGTAGCAATAACTATACAAAGATATCACCTTTGAAAGGTTTCTAATGGTAGACAGACATGGAAACAATCAAACTGTAATTTCCTATTTGCTGGCTGTTGTGTATCTACGCGTATACTTACTCAAACATATACATATAAATACATTGAAGTATATGAGTACGAGTTCAATCAAGTGAATAAGAAGTTGAGAATAGATAAATTAATTGTTTTTACGGCATTGTTTTGACGATAAATTGGTTAGGTTGGTGCATCTGTTGAAATAGGTGATGGTAGTTTGGATTATATTGCACTATGTATTTTAAAGACATTGAAGTATTCTGGGTAAATCCGTGATAACTTGATAACGAAAATGGTTGTTATTAAAATTAGAAGATAGGTATAATAGGTTTACTCAAATATAGGGAAGGCTTGTGTGTAGTACTTATGCTCTGAGTGTTGGAGTCTATAGTGTATGATAGATGGGTTGTAATCAAGCGGTGCACAGACCGTTGAAGAGAATTGCAGCGTGGCGGCCACGGACTACTAGCCCGGAACATCTGGCTTTCCCTGCACTTTTCTTGCTAATGTGCTGCAAAGACAATCCAATCACTATAATCATGTAATTGAAACTAAAAGCCCTAAGTTAAGAGTATAATGAATAATGTTACCAATTCTACCGATCCATTGAGAAGCCATAACTTGTAATCAACACACCATGTTATGTCAGTTAAATATTTGATGTGTGGACGCTTGCACAGCCAACGTTTGCGGACGTCCGAAATAATCGATGAGACAAACATTAGGCTTCGGTCCGATTAAATTCCTATCATGCTCACAATGTTTGTGTGTATTGTAATGGAGATCTTGTTAGGCGTTTTATTACAAACCATAATTATGTAGATGTCGCAGTCAACTAGTTAAATAGCCGTTCAACTAATGGCCTCCCCTATTAAATAAACGATATCTTTTCTTTCTTTAAGGGCCGCAGTGGTAACCCAACCAAACCTTCTATTCTGGAGAAACTAAATCTGATGACTGTCCATTCGCCCTTCAACTTGGTTTACCCAGTCGTTCAGGCTGTTAGTTGAACAGTTAATTAACGTGTTGATAGCAATAGATGCTTACATGATAGTTTGATGACACAAATTTACAAAATGGTTTGTTTTCTAGTTACAGTGTCTAAAGGTGAATAAAATATTATATCATGTACCTAAAAGTGAAAGTACAAACTTCAATAACCAAACTGTTGTAGTAAGACTGGCGAACTTGTGGAATGCTTGTGTTTTGATGTAAGTCCCACTAGCCTATTTACATAAATTTGCCAGTCATCCGATTTCGCCGTTAACGGTACTGTACGCGCGCGACGGAGAAGACTCGACGCGGTCGCGACTGCCCGTCAGTTCACTTTCTCATGGCCTTTGCCTTAGGAACTACCAGAAAGTAGGATTCATTTTAATAATTGTAAATGAATACACAAACAATTAAATTTGGTATGGTTATATGTGTGTAAATATTTGCCATTTGAACATAGTTATATTATAGTTATTAAGATACTTTGTGCTAGTGCAACTAAGCCAATATTATATACGTTTCTTTGCGGATTCCTGCGCGTCGATGATAGTACCTATATTAGGTGCCGACGCGTACGCATTTGTTGCTAGAAGGTATGCAATGATGGCCTGTATTAGCTTAGCGCCAACATTACGGTTAGCATGCGTTATGTAGCACAGCCTGTGCGGAAGTATGTGTTTAGTATGCGAGCAGTTATATTAGTAAACATGTAGTGTTACACAAGTACTGCTGACCTAACTACACGTCATTGTGTTTCTTATCAAATGTAAGTATATTAGCTCAGCCTCAAATGTGTTACGTTGACGACATTACGAAATAATTGTACATCAAAACAAAATGTATATCACATTAATTATACAAATATATATCAATTAAAAATCCATGACTTCAATTCTAACCGATTGAATTAAACCTTACTGTTTGGTACATTGATTGGTTAAACCATTTGTAAGTTTGGAAAGTTTACTACATAATATTATGTTAAATATTATTCAAAAGCTCCAAGCAGGTGTCTATCTGCCTATTCGTTTCACAACTTTCTACAGTTACATGTTTGATATATTACTTAATTAATTTTAATATAACAGATATCTTTTAGGTTCAAAAACACATAAAAAGTCAAGTGTTGAGTTGTGATTAAATTTTAGTTCATCGGTTCATAGATTGTTTAGCAATAACTCAAATGTTCTCAAATGCTTTTAAACAAATTTCAGGTGGAATTGTAACTAATTTGAGCTTATTTAGACTTTTAAGGCTATTTATTAAAAGCTACAATTTAAGTGTATTCGTCGTCCTCAGGTACAGAAATCAAAGTATTTGAATTTAGGCGTTTTGAGTTAAGATATTTTGTTTTGCTATGAAAACGAAGCAGCGTTAATTTAATCACTTCGCAGGTTTATTCGTTGCGAACGGTAACAGTTACGGCATGTGGTCATTATTTTACAATGCTCTTATAAATGTGCGGCCATTCATACCTTTGGGTTGAGTTAAAAGTTTCGTATTGTTCGTGGTTACAAAGTGTAAATAATAAATAAACAGGCTCATTGATGTAAAGGTCTCATTCCGTGTCAGGTGGTGTCAGTTAATTAAGCTAAAATAATTCACCAGTTGTCGAGCACTCAGTTTGAGTGACAGATCGATTAAAGTTTCCCTAATTTGAAATCAATGTCGCCGTCGCCGCACCTCGAAGATATATTTTATAGAAATTATCTCGACTGCTGTTCCTCACCTGTCAACCCAGGAGCAGGGCATTTAATCTTAGATAAAATCTGTTTAATCTGTTGATAATTTAGTAAATAAATAAAAAAATCTGATTCCTTGGCTTGGGATATTTTTAATAAGTTTTTTTGATGTGGGTATACCTTTTTCAGTTTGTCTGTATGTATGTATCCTATAAAATACGTCCAAATAAAATACATTTTTTTTGTATTAAGCACTTTTAGTGCTTAATACTCTGCTACGTTGGTCAACCTAGACTACCTAATTTCAGTAAAAGTTAATGAGTCGATTATATTATAAACTTCTCTTCAAATAAATTATCATGTAAGTCATTCGTCTTGTTACTGCTTTGCACCATACAAGAAACACTACGCACAGCGAGCAAAAACTGACCGTCACCTCGATAGATGGCGTTGGCATCGAAATAGATCGCGCTATCGTTTCGTTCCACGGCGGAGTATATAGTCTCTGACGGGCCGCGTTCAAGTCGATCTTTCCAAAGGTTAACGGGGAATGATGATCGAATTGGACTTGCGACTGCATGATGTCCGCTGCCGAATGTTACGCTTAAAGCGGGCTAAATCCTACTGACCCCTAAATTTTTAAAGATCCTAATTTAACTACAGTAAAAAATTATTTAAGTGCAATCAGATTCAGTGGTATTTACTTGCATAATTATTTAGAAATATTATTATAACTGACTGATTCATATAAAGTATATATAGAATGAAATATACATATTGTTTAAATTATTGTTATAAATCATAACTTTTACATCGGTTTTTTTTCTATACTATTGTAGAGCTACGTCATTCAATGTCGTCGGGCGCTAAAAATTAATTCAAGACACGATCGGTATTACTCGAGACTGTAGGTAGAGGCTCTTCTGGCATTACTTTAATGATCTACAATATTTACATTTCCAAAATAAAACTTCAATCAATGTTAAACGATAATATGGTAAGTAAGAAATGTCCGATTCAGCATTCAGCAGATGTAAATTATCTGTTTGGGAATCCGTGTAAGGTTATTTATTTGTTTATAATTATCACTGATACTGGGTTTGATAACAAAAAGGAAGGTATTAAAACTATGTTGTAAACAACGAAGAACGTGGTCCCTTCAACTGTCAAACACCGAGCGGTCACCGGTGACCGCAACCTATTGTTCTTTAATTGTGTCTATAATGACGGTATGTACTCAAAGAGTTAATATAACTGTTAAAAAAATATAACAGAACTTAATACTGATGTAAAACAACGCCACGTGGTCGTACTTGGACGTAGTTTTCTTTCGTTTGTAATTAAATAAATATTCGTATTTTCTGCCACTTTTTACAGAGCACCATACCTAATGTACAACCGTTAAAAACGTTTTGTTTTGAAGTTTTTCTATTTTTAAAGCAAAAATGGCTAAATCCGATGTTTAGTTTATGTCCATTTCTTATTACAGTCCCTAATATATGTTTATCCAATACTCTATCTTAACTATAAATCACTCTGCTTCCGCTGTTTATGGCAAAATGATTATGTCAATAAATTGTGGAAAAACCTGCGGGTCGTGAAAAGTGTGCTAGTTCGAGGCCGACCGATGATTAATACTGCGTCAGACTTTGTATCGGCCGAGATCAAATGGATTAGGTGCTTAATGCAAAACAACAGTAAAAAATCTAGTCTTTTGTGTGAAAATGATTGATTCCATGCAGGTTTCATACAAACTATTCAGTGAAAAATTTCCACGATGTATTTCGTTACATTGTTTATTGCTTCTTGCACTTATAAAATATTTGAAGTAAGAGTAGTTAGCGGTCGTTCAATTAGTCTGTCGGCTTTATTAAAGTCGGAGAGAGCAAAGCAAAGCGTTTTTACTTTTGCAAAGGTAAACTATTTTCTGCTCCAAGTGGTGTTGGTATGTTAAGAAAGCGTGTTTGTAACCTAACGTGAGAGACTAACATTTCACACAACGTGACTCTTCTATACTTATCCTGCGCCTAGACACAATTTGTAGACTTGTTTTGATTTAGTAGGTTGCAATTAACACATTTAATAACTTAATATTGTTTAGAATTGCACAAAAATGCAACCTACCCTGTGATCATCACACTGTACCTTTTTGTTCATTCGTCACCGAATATTTTTTAAAAACCCAATATATATACCCAATATATCTAGATTTAGAGATACTTTTCTTTGGACGTAGATGAACGATATCGCCTTAATTTGTATTAGTCAAAGATCAGTACAGTACCAATTTTCACGCTTTTAAAAAGGTTCCATTTGGAGCAATGCGGCTCATTCATCTCTCTACCCTGTACCTACGTACGAACTTGGACTTGCTACTTTGGTGCTCCTGCTGAAGTTATAACTAGATCCAAACTCTAAAGCGTTATAAATAAGTATGTGATTTATTTAACTCCATGATAAATGTAGGACACCAGGTGACTTGCGCAAAATTTTTATTTGGCATCTCTTACTTGTGTAATATTAAATTAAGCAATAGATAACATAATGTCTAGATGTAATCTCTATTATATGACGTTGTTTTTCATACATTAGTTAGGAACATCGTCTTTGGAATGTTCGTAGTGAAACTTGAAGAAACTTGCGCCGGAACTGGCAATGAACATTCCTTAGTATACGAATTTATGATGACATTGATTTACATCATCGTGTTGATATATTTGTAATTTATATACTTTAATTTTTAACGAGTACACAAAGCACCGCTAATTAGTTGCAGCGCTACACATCGACACAACTGTCATTTACACAGTGAACATGTGTGCGTAATTTCATATAACTGTATATAAAAATATATTCGTCCACCACGTTCACATTGGTATTTTCATTCTTGTGTCGGTATACGTATTTTTATAATTTAATGCATAGGTAAGGTTAAAACTATTTACAATCATTGATATGACCCGACATTTTCACTGTCATTATCGTAGTGCTCGTGGTCGATTGGTTAATGAGCACGCTTTTATCGTCTTTCAAGGATCAATGATGTGGGTTCTATTCCAGCTAAAAGTTAATTTTATTTTACCTTGTTATTTTTCTTATTTTTTTTTTGTTTTTTGTCATAAAATGTAAATATCAGGCTATAAAAGAAGCAAATGAGTTGGTAAATAAAACAATACTATTTTTTATTACAATTAATTTATTTATTATACAAATATGTTGTTTTATATTCAATATTTATATCTAATAATTAATTATATACCACATGTTAAGTTTAAAGTTCTTTAAATCATAATTAATAGATATGACAATAAACCTCATAGTCGAATCGGGAAATATCATGCGGTACAGCGGTAATACGATGGCAGCAACATTTTTTATTAAGTAGGTAATAAACAAATATACAACATTCTTGTTTTGTAATTTAATAATATAATGTATTATTAAATTACAGTTTTACAGTAATAAACAAGTAAAACATGTAAAAAATTACACTGTAATAATATTTCTTGAAATGGGCGACTTTTTGTCGTTTGAACTTCCATTAATTATCTATTTTACGACGGTTGTTATAAGGTTCAATATTCAGTGGGCTGTATGATAGTAAAAAGAATGTGACGAATGCTATGGAACGATTTTAACTTTCATGACCTTTAGAATCAGGGAAACTTTAAATTAATTGAAGATGGGCGTAAATATAATATGTCAATCAAGTTCGAAAGCAGTTAAATAAATTTGTTAATGAAAAATTAAAGTGAAGTGAATAAACATGTTGAATAGAAAGAAATTATGACAATTTCTAACCACAAAACAATAACATCACTTCACCGTATGTTCTAGACAGCATTTTAATATTCTTAAAAAAATTAAACATTATTTTATGTTAATTTTAATAAAGGCAGAGTTTGACAGGCTCAATAATTGATTCCGAAATCAATACAATCACTGATCCTACAAGGCAGAAGGTTGCAATTCGTATACCTTTCTCCATCTTTTCTTCACAATATTTTACGCCCATCCTTATCCGACTTGAAAGTCTTTTCGTCGCTCAATATGATTACACTGTTCGCCCAATCAAAATTAATAAAGTCCTTAGCAAATTCTTAGCGCTTTTGCTGGTGAACCACAGATAACAATATTTTCTTCTCTGGCTTCCTGCACCTTAAACCAGAATGCAGGTGTCTCCGTACAGTTTGTATTAAAACATTCAGTGCTGTCGCTGTAGTGCGGGTTGGCAGGAACGGATCAGCCATGTGCCTGGCTACGATGTCGTAGTGCCGAGCCGATGAATTTGCCTTTGGTTTAGGCCCACGTCGACGATGTTTAACGTCACCGGTCTCCGCATATCTGTGCACCCATAACTGCATGGATCTCCTCTGTTGATACCAAACAAATAAGTATTTAAAATACCAGGAAATACTTTACAGGAATTAAAGTTACTTAAAAATAATAATAAATATAAGTAAACACAATGTTAGAATAATAATTTATAATTAAGTAGTGGCGTAAGGAATAAAAATCCCTAACCAGATATGTTTTAAAGAAACACTCCTAACAAAAACAAGTCAAGTTACAATACAATTAATAATAAATTATTAATATATCTTTATAATATTGAACTTCATAATAAGTTGCAATAATTATTTTATTCTAGTGCAAAAATTGATAGGTGTGTCGAGTTACAAAATGAAATAAATATTATTTAGAATATCAACGTAGTATCTTATTTACTCACCGATATCATTAAACGCCTTGCTATTTCAGTTATTGTTAGTTATGTTTTGCTCATGCAAAACAATGGTTTCAGCCTTTTTAAATGTTGATAGGTGTTGGAACATCTTGTAAAAATAAAAATAACTTTGCACACGAATATAAGTAGTGTAGCAATAAACTATGAAATCCTCATAAATTGACAACTAAGAACGCAATTATTTTGTAAGTCGGGTGATTTGAAAAACATGTTTTAAATAGTCGGTAGTTACTTCATAAGCGTGTAAAATAAAATGACTCGAGATTTCTATGGTCGCCACAAACATTGCAAATATACTCAGGTATCGAACCATTAAGAAATCACAGTTAATTACTTTTTTACTGTTTTTATCTTATTTAAGTTGGTTGAAATGCATGAAGCAAATGAGATTATTCTAAATAATAAATAACTAGAACTAAAATATAAATAAAAGATATTATAGGTATAAATAAATCTAAAGTATTTACTATTAAAATTAACATAAGATTTAGAACAATAGGAAAGGAAAAAAAAGAAAAGATTTAATTGTTTCTAATTTCAAATTTCAAATATTTGATAAATTAATTCTAAAACAACATGTGAATGTTGGAATCGATCCGGCGGCACTTTACTTGACAATTGGAGGCGATAACCATTGCGCCAAGCGCGCTGTAGATGAGATCATCGAAATATTTTATATCATTCAGTAACATAAAATTACAATGAGAAAGCACTATATTTATATGGGTATTGTATAGCTCGATCGTTCATTATTTTTGATTTCGATTTATTCAAAGTTTGTTATGAGTAATTTTATCTTTACCCTCGTTTTTATTTAAACTTATTTACTAAATTATTGCGTATACCGACACAAAAATGATTTTTAAATACCAAGATGTGTGTGATAGACGATTGTTTCTATACATATCTATTGATATGAAATTACCCACACATGTATATTGTGTAAATGATAGTTGTGTCGATGTGTAGCGCCGCTAACTAATTAACGGTGCTTTGTGTACATATAAAAACTATAAACTATGTAGGTAGTAGGTTTTCATTCATTAATATAGTTTTAATACGCAGTCATCCAAAGAAATAGAAGAAAGGTAGTTATACGTATTATATCGTGAGATGTAATAAAATAATATTATTATAGTGTTGTACGGAGTAGTGAAAAGAGACCTAGGTAGGTTGGCAAAACATCTAAGTAGTACATACAATATGAAAATAATGGAAATGTAGATTCTTTGCAGGATCTCAATAAATTGTCATATTTGTATTTGGATCAATATTGTTTACATTTGCCTAATAGAGCTTACCGACAATGCACTCATGCAGTGATCTAGCCGGCTTGCAATATCGGCCGCTGTGCGCTGCGCCTGCGCCACCGGTAGCGACTGCCGGCCGGCCTTACTCCCGGAACGCACGGTATGCGTGTCCCACTTGTGTCACACTTGCCCACTCACTCGATCACAGCCTCATTTACATTTCTTTAGAAACATATGATACATCATCAACGCATGTGAATGTGCAATGCTTTACAGTTATACGTATACCTGAACATCGCGGCATCGTTTCCAATTAAAAATATAATCTTCGTTTCCATATTTGTTATTTCATTTCAAATATCCGATTTCAGATGGTAAAGCCGATAATACGTGTAGCTAACCTGTGTCAACAGATACGGCACGAGGGCACGAATGGCGTGGGGAGCTAATACCGAAACCGAACGGCCGTAGTTGGAAAATAACAGTCGCACTGTTTACTTAGGACTCGATAGGACTGCTGTTCTGTGGCATGCAGCCTCGATACTATCTCCTGTATTTAAACACGGGCAATTGAGTGCACGTACTGTTTGTACAAAGGGGAATTTAGCCCAGTCGCTTTACTAACAAGTAAATGAAAACTACCCACGCAAAAGACCTACAACGTTACGGCCTCTTTAAAATCCTTTGATATTACTTAGACTCGAAATAAGGTGTTGTTACCTTGTATAGTTCTAAACGACATCTTACTGTAGTTTTTGAATCAAGTAATTGAACGGGGAAAGATAATTAAAATTGTCAAGTTGTTCGTATGACTCAAACTTTATTCTGTTGTTACGATGAGTTTATGCTTCAGGTAGGTAAATAGAATTGATTTTAAATTTTCCTTAAGCTTCACTCTTACCTCTGATCAATTTGCGGCACAAAATCAACGATTGAAAGTGTTAAAAAATATTCGAGGCTAAACCACAGTTTTATTGCACACAATAATTTTATTTATTTATTTATTCCACTTACATTTATCTTTACAGGTTAATGCCCAATAATTCTAAGATACGATTCCTATATGGAACAGGTAGATATAGACATGGGTATGCCTATTTAGTATCTTGTAGTATACAAACAGGTCGTAGGAGTTACTCGAGTGTAAAGGGTCACCTCGGTGACGACGCGCATGACTTGCCACCTATTACTTATTGTTGTACAGGCATGTTTATATGTTATCTGTGCATCATCAAGAGTTTACCTTACAATCACGTCAATTCGCATAATAAAACCAACCACACACTTAATCTTTTCCTCAGTTGATTTCATCATTAATGCTTTGAATGCAATATAATGAAATAGTGCGTGTACCTATATTATTTTAATGACTGTAGTTTGCAACCATTCTTCAAATAATATTGTATTACAAGTAGGTACTTAATTATTATTATTATATAAATATTTTTTACGTGAATCGATTTTAATGAACTCTATTCTACCAATCAAACCTTTATGTTTCATGTCCATAATGAAGGTAAATTGTAGAAATAATAGATAATATTGTATGGTCATCAAGATTAAAAGGGTGTACCAAATATCAGATCGATTTGTCATCAGGAAGGGGATAAAATTCCTATTACTTTTGATCCAAACAAACTCACTAATATTTGTTTATTTATTTGGACTCCCAACAAAAGATACACTCACAAGCTAAATTATAATCCACCAGAAATATTCACTAATAAATACTGTTTTAAATGAATACATTTCTGGCGAATAACAGTATTTTGATTCAATCAATAATTTGGAAACTTTCTTTTCGCTAACCTAGAAAGTGGATTTGATAGTCGTAAACACAACGTTAGACTAGTTTTAATTGAGACTATTTAGCTGTAAAAATATATAGATTTTTTGCATACCGTGGAAAATATTTTAACATCTATGTATTGGTTGTACTTGGTGTACAGAATTTAACGCTTCTTATAGAATCTGTAGACGGTCTACCTTTTTGCTACACAAAATAAAATAAAGCCGCTTTTAATGAGGCAATTTAGAATAATAGTTGTAACTGTAACTTGCTACCTAGTTATACAGTCTCATGTGTAGGCATGCATATCATTCTTCGGCCTTTGACCGTTATGAGGTAGAGCAGGCAAGAGAATGTATCATTAATGTCAGTGATGTTAGCTATTTGTCGCGAATCAGTCCCGTTTGTCGCTACCTGCCGACTCACGCGTTTCTTCTAGAGGCACGCAACAGCCGCTAACTTAATGTAGACCAAGGGAATAAAACATATACAATTGTAAAGTACATGTAAAGGCACAATTAAATCGCTAGCAACCGATATGCTTAGAATGAAAATGGGTGAGGACAACGAGATATGTAATCGTATATGAAACATGTTTGTTCTGGATGACATCAATCAATGGTTTGCTTTAGCTGGTTTACGACCGGCCTGTCGCAAATATGTAAATGCCTAATTCTACTAATATTATAAATGCGAATGTTTGCTTGTGACTCTTTCCACAAAAAGACACAGAATTGCGTGAAATTTGGTACAGATGTAGATTATACTTTGGAATAACACATTAAGAAATTTTTATACCGGGAACACGGGTAGGTCGGTGGCGAAAAAAGCTTTTCTGTTATGTTGTGATTGTAACCATACGACGGAAAAAGACAAGGGACACTTCACTTGGTAAGCAGAGTAACTGCTTTAACATGCATCTAACCCAACAGTCAATAGCTTCAAGCTTTTGTTGTCTTGGCAGACAGCTTTACCACCAGTGAATCTATTACCAGTATCATTTTATTTAACTTAAAATTTGCTCAAGATATACACACAAACATGTAAATGTTTGCGTCGTCAAGGCCCTTAGGGGAGAACAGTGGGGTAGGGATTGGAGGAGGCAATACTACAGTTTACCTTGTAACGTTAAGTGTACATCGTATGTAATGTAGTTCCCATCCAATTATCTGTTGCGTTCATTTAATTAAGCATATCAGTGCCAATGCTACTCAGAACGTAAACAAGTGTTGGTTGTGTCTAACCGTAAATGTGGGTAGAAAGCGCGACTCGCACTCCCTACGATTGGACGCGATGCGTACCCAAGTGATTAGCGGCCTACAGTATACACGTGGATCATTCAGTAGCACGTACAGCAGTAGTCATACATGCAGACAGATATGAACCGCTACATCTTAGAAAATGTAAAAATAAAAGAAAAAGTTTTAAAATTCGAAAATCTTTTGTTCACTTCTCTGCCTTGTAGTATTACTTATAGCTAGCAAAGTAGAGTTATTATTGTCTTTGTTATTGTGAAGGGAACCATGCGTCCGTAGTCGCTTTGATCATGTCGTGTTCTTAATTGCGCTGCTATTCGTTGCGGCAGCGACAGGTATCTCGTGGAATAAGTTACCATCTGCGCAGAGACTTTGTAATAGAAAATAACCGGGTGTTGTTAATGGCTGCGATCCTAGAGAGCTCGCGGATAATGGCGGAGCGTAATGCCGTTTTGGCGGGAAGCGATGCGTGGGTTTGTGCTGCGGACTGCGGATGTTGGGTGCGCTGAAGTAACTTCCATACTCCGATTTATGATTGTGTAATTAAAAAGCAGTTTACGTTTCTATTGTAGGTAGTTCTTGATTAGTATCGTTTCTCTTTTGCGATGCCCTACGCCTTATCCTTTTCCTTATGATACAGTTTTATTACTGTATTTGACTATTTCAAGTTTTAATTATTCCATTATTCAACGATTATTACATTTGCCTTATGTAACTTAGTATTGTAATTATAATAGTAAAGTAATTTAACGATAATATTATTGGACCCGAAAAGAAGAACTGAGTTTGATTTAGTTTTTTTTGTATGTAACTTGAACCGAATTAGATCTAAGTAATGAACTAATGAATCAAGGAAATCTTTTTAGCTATTTGAATATACCTAATAAGTTACTTTCTAGTTCTAAGTAGTTAGTGTAAGCATATATCTGATGTATTCTATTGAGTGATGAATTAGAAACCAATATCGTCATTATAAATAAGCCATAAGGTCATATAGAATTATAAAGTAATAGTCATAATGCAAACAGTCCGGCTCAAACTACAAAACTCAAACGAATAGAAAATCTCATTTTTGTGTTTGTTGTTTGAGAATCGGGTATAATTATGTAATAAAGTAAGCACCTACCTACCTGTATAACGATAATTGGGATGATGACCGGGTAATGAAAATTTAAAATCTAATTAGTCCGTAACTTAGGTAATGAAAAGTATTAGACACGTATTTTTTAATTTTGTCTATAATAAAACAATACTTAGATAAAACGATAAGTTTAGGAGTGGGGGGCTAAAACGTCATTTCTATGTTTAAAATGTACATAGAATTGACGTCACGAGACATTTCAAATCAATATATCGTCGAAAGTATTCGTTTCTGTAAGAAAATAAAAATTTGTGTCTAATGATTTCAAATAATCTACAAGATAAAATAAAAATTAGGCATCTACCTTATTATTTTCCTTTAATTTTAATTAGATTTTTATCAACTTCATAAAAATAAAGTGGTACTACGTTCAGTTTTATACAAGTAAAATCCTTATGTGTAATAAATGTTCCGAGTATAATACATAAAAACTGCGTGGAATGCGGTGAGGCGTCGCTGATCGGATGCGGAGATTCGCAGATACTGCATCGCCGAGTGCAGCATGCTGGTGCAGTGCCGACTAGACTGTTAGCCAGTGTTCGTAATGCTGAACGACGCGAGACTGTTCGATTACCGTCGCGTCTACAATAAATAAAAAGAACCATAATATGCTATGGTTGGGTGACTTGACTACGTCTCATTAACAGTTCTATAATTCGACTGTACAAAGTGTAACTCTGATTGTGGGCATTCTGCCAGGATCAATTCAGAAATCTTCATCATTTATTGAACGCTCGCGCCTTATCAATATCAAAATTTTATTAAATTAAAATATTTCGTCATTATCAATGAGAAACCTTTCTATTATTGAAACGTTGAGGGATAATGCTAACAGCAAAGATCGATTCGATCAATTGTCGTCGTTCACATTCTCGTGTGATGCATGGCTGGCTGGGCCGACGTCCTACTACAATCACACTAGATCAAGCGCTACTAATGCCGCAGTAGGTAACCAATCCATCTTCACGCCGCGCTGTGACGGCAACCGTGACTTAGATGAATATTGCACCTGCCGAGTGTCACTGAACCTTACTACAAAGTTATTTACAGTAGGCTGTTACTACCAATTAAAATATAATTGTCACGAATGCTTGCTTTTTAAATATGAGGTGCTAACTACAAAATAACTTTTCAACAAAAATCAATCATTAC